GTCAAAGCTGATGGTTCTTTCTTTGAGGACATTGCTGAACACTCAAGATAAGTAGGAGGGTCCCTAAACATCCTTTCCATGCACCTCTGCACTCTTCTTTGTAACGCTTTATTGTCCGCCTCCTCTTCAGTGAACTGAGCAAATATCATTGATCTCTTCACAGAACACTGGAGACCCCTGGACTTGGAACCATGCAAGTTCTCAGCAGCAAGGGTTGTTCTKTCACAAGCCGCGACCGCGCGTCCTGTTCCTACTGATCCAACTGCAACTGTGTCCTTTAGTACTGCTGGCGTCGACCTTGGTGTTGATGCTGCTTTTTCCCCTCCTTCCTCGTGGTGGTGTTCTTTGGTGCAAATCGCTGATTCAGCACGCGTTTCCACACATCCCTTGGTAATAGACCGGATCGATAGTGCGACTGGGAGTACAGTGCTAGCTCTGGGGGGTGCTGGCATGCTTGTTTTCATCTTCTTGTTGCTCTTATTGCTCATTGTTGCTCATTACAGAGCCAAAATAGACCCAAAATACAGCAAAAACTGATTTTTTTTTCAAAATACTTGGCCGATTGCAACGATACTTCGGGATCAAGTCTCCTTTGATGTATTAAGGACGTCMGACAMACTGGTTGTTTCGGTAAGGGGGGGGAAGACAGTTTCTTTTTTGTTACACTGGGGAGTTCGTCGTTGCTGTTTTCACGTGAATTCAGCGCTGTACGTAGGACTCCTGATGCTTCTAAACCACTCGGTCGATCGATCCGCTACTTCACAGTCCTCTTCCGSTTAGTGTAAGGATTGTAACACTTGTCTTGTGAGCGTGATTGGTTGGATATTGATAAAGTTCTGGAGGAGTGACAGCTTGCCTTGTTGAGGTTGATTTAATGAAAATATTTTTTATTTTCGGTGASGAGAGAAATCAACAAGCCCGAAAAGGTTCTCTGACACGAAACATACGCAATATGGACATGTATCRAAAGAGGAGGGAAAACCCTTTCCMACTGATGGATTCTCTAATTCTGATTGGTCCTTTGGGTTGAGTTAGCAAGGAAGCAAAGTTAGCAAAAAACCGGCGCGTTTTATGTACTCATAACCTGTTAGAAATCGATAGTCTTATAACGCACTGAAACCTGTACCACGGATGGAATGGAATTTTTTTAATCCTGATGCTGAAAATCGTGCGCGTTGCACACCCCTCTAAATTATGACCCCTGCCTACGTACCAGTACGATTACTTCATTTCCAAAAAATGAGTATTGTTTTCGACGCGGAGCGCGGCGCGCCACTGTAAATTATGACTCCTGCTATCGAACGGTACAAGGTACCGGTACTTCTCGTACTATGGTAAACCTGAGAAGCTCAACGGTTACAATTCGTACTCGTACTCGTACTCGCACCACAATATCAATATGGCCGCACAAAGTGTCTTGTAGTACGGTACCAGTGATACTTCATGATCTACTGTAATCGGTACACAATTTTAGCCTTCACACAGAATCAATCTTGTCTCAGCAACAAGAAAGAAAGATGGATGTTACTGTTCGGCAAGAGACTCATACAAGCCCATCTCCTCGACAAAGTATTCTCAAAACCAATTCGATGACCCCTACCTCCGATAGAACGTTACCATGGAAGTCTTTTATCCTGCTTCTCCTCCTGGCAATGGAAGTGCACAATTATGGAAGGATGTCTGGAGAAATCTCGATGATGGACATGTGTGCAACTTTGAGTACCCGTTACGCTTCCGAGCCAACAACAACAGCATTAATGAAATCGTCGATGACATCGTCGCCGACACCGACACCCGAAAATAAGAATACAAATGATGCCGATTATTCAAAAGCGCATGAGCAATCCTTGGGCTTCTTCAAGAATATCCCGTCGTCCGAATGGAAACTCTTACAGGAAAAAGTCTCCGCCATGTCCCCAAATTTCGATGACAATATGTTCAAAACCTCACTTTCACGGAGAAAAAACAAAATTTATGGCTATTTTTGGCAACACCATTATGAACCCGACTTTGTTTGCCAGCACGAAAGGCGTGTTGGAAAACGCGGTGATGGTGGCAAGTGGATCTGTGACCCCCATCGCATTGCCCAAAAAGTAGAAGCAGGAGGACGATGCCTTATTTATAGTGTGGGTTCCTTCAACAATTATAAATTTGAACAAGGTGTCCAAAAGGACGTTCACGAAAAGTGTGAGATCCACACATTCGATCCTGGAGACTATGAATCAGGAGCCAAGAAAGCTGGAGGAGATATCACCTACCACCGGGTCGGAGTAAGCACAGACAAAGTTGGTCCGAAAGGGATATACAAGTCCTTACCCACGTTGGTCTCTGAGCTAGGCCATCAAAACTCAGAGATCGATGTCTTCAAGATTGACTGCGAAGGCTGCGAATTTGAAAGCGCATCTAATTGGTTCGAAGCCTCGGCCAAATACAATGTGACCCTCCGTCAGATCCTTGTAGAGCTCCATGGTAGAAAGGAAGCGAGAGTATTCAGCTTTTTTGATCTGATGTATAAGCACGGATACGTCATCTTCCACAAGGAACAGAACACAATAGCAATGAATATGAATGGAACGGCGATCGAGTATGCGTTTTTGAAGCTTGATCCGGCTTTTGTCAACGCCATCCCAAGAGCCAATGCATATGAAACATTTCGAACAATGACTGGCGAATAAGTAGTCTAACCAAATATGACATTGCCCCAGTCGGTACAAGATCGTTTGACTTGAGGTGAACAGGCTGGGATCGAGTGGAATGCATGGTTTAAACGAAATGGCTAGCCTTGTCCACGCTTCTTTGCAACGCGATTGTTTGTGTTGTGTCTACGTGGTTGAAGATTTATGGAATGGATTTAGTGATTGACAAGCGCTTGCTGCTTTACCGTATTTGAGTGCATGTTTCACCCAACTACACTTTCAGCTTGGAAAAATGAGAAAGCAAAACATGAGCCATAGCGGTCACAACATACCGTCGAAGTCGAAACGCTATGATGGCGATACCAACACCAACATCGTCAACAGGCTGCAAGAAAATGATGCCGAGCTGCATTCAACCAAGCCGGCTTCAGCAATCCTACATTCCCAACAGTAGCGGCAACAAAAGTAACATACATTAGCCATTTCGGGAACTTCATCCAATGTCAACGTTTTCTACTCGTAGACTATTACTTTAATTTAATGATACATTGCCGAAGATAGCAGCTATGATTGAAGCAACGGCAAAAATTAGTAGGATCACCAGCACCAGCTTTTGTGTCCTTTTGGATGCCACTTTCCATGGTTTGTATACATTCACACTGCCACAGGGGTCGCCTCTCTCTAACGAATGAAGCGCTAGAAGGAGAGGTAAAATGAAGGCAAGCAAACTCGTGAATATTATCCCTCCCCACGAAAGTAACTGGATGACAGCATCGCCCTGATAGAATAACCAAGAAAAACAGAAGGGAAAATAGACTGCTAGCCCATTGGCAGTACCTCTTGACAAAAATGCATTTCCATCCGTAAGATTCATGCGAGCCAGTATGCTAAATAGTGGACACCCCAGACCGATGATGAAAAAAGCGAAAATAGAAGCGCAAAGCTGCATTGCTGTACCGAACACCCCAGACATGAGAGACTCAAGCATATTCTGCGATGCATGTGGCATCGTGATTGCCCCGAGTATGCCAATTGACAAATACAGAATTGACGTCAGTAGAGAGGAAGAATGTACGACTAGAGGGACATTCACTCCTGGCTCTTTTTCGTACAACCTTTTCACAAAATAATCGACATTGGATGGATCAGAAAAGGAAAGGAGTCGGACCAAAAATTTGAGCAAAGAAAGCAAATATAATCAAGAAAGGAGGCCTCAACAACGAAAATGAATGACAATATTGCGGTGTAACCTTCCTTACCAAGCTGGAATAGCAATGACAAGTGCGAAGTTAAAAAGCACCACTCCAAATAGAGAACCCCACTCTGTACCCCAAAATGATATGTTTCTCAAATCAAACCCCGAAGACAAAAATAGGATGACAAATCCTAGAGACGTAACCAAGAGGACCAAAAACCCAATGACTTGCATCGCTGCATTTTCCTTCAAGTCCATAATTGCCATCGGAAGGAAGGTCAACACTGTGATGGCATAGCCGAGTGTCAACAAAATTCCTTCTTCATTGAGGAACGGGACACATTCCCCAGAGATCAAGACCTCTTCGGAACAAATATTGTAATCCCAATTTGTAAGACGGACAACCGGTTGGCTATCAATCAACTGAAAATTTATAGCCAAAGCTCCACTTGGGACCCAATGACCAAAAAATGTATCGACAACTTCAGCTGTATCAACGATCGACGACACATTCAGACATGTGACGCAGCAGAAAAACAAGACCTTCGAAGTATAATTGCGTGCCGAAGTGGATAGGTTTGGGAAAGTGGAGTAAAATTGAATGACGAGCACTCTATTGAGTAAAAACTCCATGTTCAATAGTTCCACTCGTGCTCCCTCAGACACTCCTCACCTGTGTAAATTTATAACTCCTCGGGCCCCAAAGCTGACGGAAACATTCGCTATAACCAATCTATATTGCATCGCATGGTATTCAAAACAATGTGAGAGTTGAACACAATAATGCTTGTGAAAGCTTTAGTGAAACTTACATCGTAGGTGAAATCCTGATTATTGGGAACCTTTGAAATCACGTTTGACATATGCAAGCAGCAAAAAGCTGATAATACGCAAACAAAAAGAATGACAGCGGTCGTAGGGATCAAACCTGATCGCTGATATGTCGCAGGAAGAGTTAGCATTGCAGGTCCCGTTAAGGAGTTCACAGCGATGGAAACTGATCCCAGAACACCAATTCGTTTCATACTTTCCGACATGTGTTCCGAAAAACCACCAGCAGTTGCTGCTAGAGAACCAATGAAACTGCACGATCGATTGATTTCTTTCCCATCAATATTTCCAGGTGTCCCGTTGCTCTCTTCAGTGTTTGGTATAAGCTGTGTGCTTTCGTTCCATATTGTATCAGTATCCGGCATGTTGAATTCGTCGGGAGAATAGATGTATTCTCGGCCTCGTCAATTTTTGTAACCGTAACCCTACTGCGTTGAGATGTTATTTGCGTTGTTTCTGCTTGGAATTGGGGAATATTATACCGATATTCTCTATCAACAAGAACCTTATTGATGCAATCTTCCTACCTAATGTGAACCTTAAGGTGGATGATTAGCTGAATTGGGTGGTGATTGGGGATTGGTCAGTACAGTAGGTACCTGGTAGTACTGTACCTGTTACCATCAAGACCGGTTTTCATGATCAAAAAGTTCGAGTACGAGAGTCGTATCTTTCAAATCGGTACATCGTACCGATGACATCGGTTTTTCCGTGTTTCATTTCGTACAGAATCATGAACATCGATAATTCCGGAGAATTAACTGATTTCCTTGTTTTACAAATGACATAAACTCATTTTCTTGCAAATTTCTGTTTTTAGTAAATTGTAAACTCATTTCTTGCATTTGGCCATTTCGTAAACTCATTTCCTTGCATTCCTAATTACACCTAGCGCTTTTTCTTTCAGTCGTTAAATTCATTCTTTTACTTAAGCGTTCAACGGAAAACTGACAAATCTGATTTCCAACCCAATATCCGCCGGAAATCATCCTCCTTTCATCAATTAGTTTCCCACCACCAGAGATCTCCTTTGGGATGTTTGTTTACGATTTCAAACTTTCTCCGGAAAATCTATTTTCCTGACATTTGATTTCCCCATTTAATTTTCCCCACTCAATTTTATTTCTCATTGTTTCAATCATAATCTCATATGATTTTCCGCCTGTCGTTTCCATGATTTTCCGCCTGTCGTTTCCATTTTCCTTGTTGTATTTTCCTGTTCCACTTTTGTTTGTTATCGAAAAACAAAAACCTATTTTTGACTTCAATGATTGGCTTGCTAACGCAAATAGTTTCTACCATGCAAAAACTAAGTTAGTGCCAGTAAGGTTGAAGTTATGCTCTGAAAAGAATGTACTACTAGTAGTAGTAATAGTAGTAGAAGCTACTCAATGAAAGCACTGTGGCTGTTTCTTTTTTCTGAATTAGGAATGGAAATCACCAATTTGTTGCGTATGCTGGATATTGTTTTTGTTGGTGTTGTTTTCTGTAAGCAGAAGAGGTGATCGTACAAACAGACCATTGGAAGAAGTTTTAGTAACTCTTCTTGTTGCTGCTGCTGCTGAACAAAGCACAACATAAATCCAATTGCTTGTATAACACCAAGTTGAAACCAAAACATTCCAAAGTCATTGAACATGACAGGTCTACCAACATACAATTTAAGTGTTGAAGCTCTCCCCAGATTGGATCATCTTCAAACCTTTGGTTTGTTTTTAAGTTCAAGAAATGTGTTGGTTTTTCTCTCCACAGATGGATTGTTTTGACAAAACTAGAGAGGAGTCTCCTCACACAGGTTTGAGTTGATTGAAGTCACAAACAAAGACAATTGGTAGATTGCCATACAAATTATATGATGGCTTGTCACACAATCAGTTCAGATATTCAATCATGTTTCAATTTGTTTGATGCTAGCAAATGATATCTTGTCAACAGTGAGTAGGCAACAAGTCTCATTTAACTGTAACATTGGATCTGTCAGGATTAAGACAGCAGAAAGCTAAACTACTATGTGTTGTTTCCCCATCGATATTAATGTGGGAGTGACTTTCTAATAGTGATGTAAATGATGGAGTGCAAGAAGAAAAAGGTGAGTCAATGCTCTTATCAAGGATTGACCAACTATGAAATCTAAGATCAATCAGAATGAAGATCAAGTGATGTGTGAATCGAATGAGTCAAGTCAGTCATGCAGGTGAATCAAACAAATCAAGTCAGTTGTGTGGATAATTGGGAGGGTGCTGTCTGTAGAATATCAGATTGTGTGTATGAATCATAGATATGCTTCATATGTATGTGTCGTAGATATGAATCATACCCACAATCTGATATTCTACAGACAGCACCCTCCCAATTAACTGCTACTGTGCCAGTAGTCATGCCTGTGATAGCTAGAGTTCTGTTCAAAAAGTTCACTCTCAATTCTTTGCAAAACATCTCACAATAATGTCAAACATAAAGAATTACTTTTGATTTTCCAGTACCACCATCCCCTGATAGAAAACAGATAAACTGCTCTTTGTTGCTCATTGTTGCCTTGAGATCTTGAATGTATTTGTTGTGGCAATGACCAATTAATCTTCTTGTGGAAAACCTTTTTCCTCATTGCTCAGGTGAATGTAGAGATATTTTATGTAGTTTTGAAACAAAAGCAGCTACAATCTGGCTAAATGCATTTTCAGAGCGAGAAGCAGAGTTCAAGAGGAGTGATTTTCGGACAGAGGCCGTGATTATTAGAGCTAGGAGGAGAGCTCATATTTCGAAGAAATAGAGAATAAGATAGAGAACACTTTATTTGACTCGATTCACTTACTAATTTCAACCATCTCAACACCGGTGATGGCGTGTCTGGATCAAAGACGAACAATTTCATGGATGGATTCAATACCCAACAGTCGCGAATGAGGCCCAAAGATTCCCCAAATAAGAGATTGGAGTCTTGACTACCAAAGAACGGTTCTGGTCAATAGTTTAATCTTCACTGTTTTGTGTGTTCCAAGCCAGCATTCACTTTCATTCATCCATTTTAATTTATTGTTAAATTTTTGAATTATCATGACATTATTCTATATTTGTATCGCTCTAATCCAAATGGCAATTCCTGTCCAATACTAGTTTTCTTATAAACCATACGAAGCGAGTCGAGACTGAGAGATGCCGGAAATCGATGATTTTTTGTCTTTTGCCTTCTTTTTCTTCTTCTTCTTGTGCTTGTCGTCGCTGGAAGGAGTTTTCGAGCTCGAGCGACGCTTTTTGGAAGCAACTTCGCGCACAATGTTGGCACCGCCTGATGTCTCGTCGCTTTTTTCGACGGGTTTTGTTGGTTCGTCGGTTTTGTTGCTGCCCGTAGTATCTTTCGTGTCTCCCTTTTTACCGCCCTTCTTTCTCCTTCGCTTTTTCGATCCACCCGCATTTTCGGTTTGGGTCTCCGACTCGGGTTTGGAAGTTTCCGGCGTTTTGTCGTTGTTCTCGGCATTTTCCTTGGATTTCTTTCCTTTCTTCAGTCTTCGTCGTTTCTTCTTTGGTTCGGGTTGCACGGGATCCGGTTCGTGGTTTGCTTCCAAGTTTTGTTGCGATTCCTCTTCCTTCGGCAGGGCTTCTTCGAGATCCTTTTTCAGCAACTCCCGGAATTTTCGTCTCTTTTTGCTTCCAACAAAGTGCTCGCCCTGCTCGTTGTACGGGGCCATCTTCTTCAGGGAGACGAATTGTTTCAGGGTCCTGTCTCTGGCAAAGAGGATTTCCTGGGTTGTCAAACCATAATCATTGGATTCTACCTGGCGATATTTGAACCGTGTCGGCATCCCCGCCACGATGTCTTCGTAGTCGAGTTTGTAGAGCTCCTCTTGCATTTTTGTCTTTAGTTTCTTCTCGAGCTTTGATTCTTCGTGGGAATCGTCGTATTCGGTTTCGTCCCATTCGGCGTCCTCGTCGTAGTCTGGATCGTCCATTGCGTCCTCGTTTGCTTCCCCGTCTTGGACGTTGTCGTACATTCCTCCGTTGAGATCGTCCTGGCCGACCAATTCGTCGCCCTCCTCGTCGCCCTTCAGGGTCTTTCGCACGTCGAGGTCGGACTTCCATTCTTTGTCCTCTTGTTGGTAGAAGTCTTCTCCGTAGGCCTTTTCCATTGCTTTTTCGAACTTCTCCGGATCGTAGTCTCCCTCCAGCATCTGCATGATTTCCGCTTCGTCGATCACGCTTTCGTCCACGCCGCCAATCACTGCTTTCACCTGCGACAGCTTTTGGTTCATTTCTTTCTTCTTTGCGTTTTTCAGGCGCTTCAACTGCTCCTCCTTGGCCTTGCGTTCCGCGGCCTTCCGTTCCTTTCGGGCTTGCCGCTTGTCCTTTCGCGAGGTGTCCTCCCGCCTCACCGTGTTCATGGTCTGGCTGCGGGCGTAGGTCTGTACGGATAGCGATGCCCCGGACGCGGCCGTCTCCTGGGCGGCCTGCTCGAAGCGGAAGTTGTAGTTCGACTCGTACTCGTCGGCACGCTCGACGTCGTCGAGGGAGGACTCTTCGTCGTCGTCGCCGGCGTTGCGGTCGAGGTCGTTGTGGTCGATCCATTTCTTGTTGGTGATGAAATCGAGGAGAAACATTTCCCCGTCTCCGACCTCGCCGCGGGGGTCCTTGAAGACGTCGTCTTCGCCGCTGCCAGTCTTTTTCTTGCTTTTCTTGGACATCTTTTCGATCTCCTTCAGTTCTTTGGATGCCTCCTGCTCCAGCTTTTCGATTTCGGCGGGCGTTTCTGCTTTTTTCTTGACGACCATCCAGTCGTCTTCGTTGTCGCCGCCGTCGGCGTTGGAGGACTCGGTCAAAAAGGCGGCCCGGAGCTTTTCTTGTTCCGCGTCGTATCCCAGCTTCGACCGGGGCGCCAGCGGATCGCCGGAGGGTCCCTTTGCCGCGGCGTCGCCGCCGCTTCCCCGCTCGTCCTCTTCCATTTGTTCCAGGATGTGGTCTCGCACCACGTCCTTGTACCGCTGGGGCTTTCGGATCGCCTTTTTCCCCTCGTCGTTGTCGTCGTCGCCGTCCCCGACGAGCTCGTCAAAGAACTGCGCCTTTGGATCGTAGATCGAGTCGTCCTTCTTGCGCAGGGCCTTGATCGTTTTCAGGAACTGCACGTTGGCGGACGGGGTGAAGAGGACGCCGTCCTCGTCTTCTTCCTCGTCGGACGAATCCGATTCGGATGAGTCTCCGTCCGCGATGCCGTCTCGCTGTCGTTGCTGGCGGATCTGCTGCAGTTCTTCCCGCTCCTTCTTGTTCTGGTACCTGGTGGCAAACGATTTGTTCACGGTGAGGCGGAGTTCGCTTCCGTCTCCCGAGGATCCTTTCGCCGCGGCCGACGAGGAGGACGAGGAGGTCGATGAGCCGTCGTCGCTGGACGACGAGGAGGAGGAGGACGAGGACGCATCATCGTCGAAGAGATCCTTCTTTTTCGTTGCCATTGTTGCGATGCAGAAAGACCAGAAATCAAAGATGGACCCTTTCGGCAAGCAGCAGTGGTTGGAACGGTTGTATCGTTAGATCCCTCGCACCTGCCAGAGAAACTCGCGAATCCAAGTTTTTTCCTTTCTTTCGTTTTCGTGTCATTTACGTTCGGTTTCCTCGGGCTACTAGGTTTTGCGTGCGAAGGCCCCTATGCTATGCTAGCTATGCTTGGTAGAAGGTACGTGACTATCGTACCTACTTCTACTGCATGACCATTTTGGGCTCTAGGTTTGGATGCATCTGGTGGTTCCGGTCCAGAGTTGTTTCTGTGTCCGTCCGTCCGTAGTTCATATTGGACGACTCACTTGACCCAGGGTGTCAAGGCAAGTTTTTGGGAAAACCGAAAACCCATAGACGTAGAAGGTAGGTACAGTCCCTGACACAAGTATGAACGTACGTACGTCCTCCGTACTCGCAAACGTACTCACTATTTTTTGCTTTGAGGCCTCGCCTTTCGTCAACAAAATGTGACCGCGCCCCGAACGGAGTGACGTGGCAAACCATGGTTCTGATTTTGGCCGGGTAATTCGGGGGAACGGACCATGGAAGCAATGTTCTTACCGTTGAAAACGATGGACAGGTGATCGAAGGGTGTTCGTTCTTCTTTGGGTGTCAGCTGGTTTGGTTCAGGATCATGACACCCGGTGTACCTTACCGTAAGAGAGCAGAGGGGACAACGATCCAAAGTCGTACGGTACCATATCGTACCGTATGGAGAGAAACCTTCCGGTAGTTTTCAGAACCACGACCACGGGTGTGAACCGTCGTCTCCAGAAGACCACAGAAGGCATCAATCGTTTTCCTGTTCTCACGGCAGCGCCTACATCGAAACGAACGCACCGTACAGCGGCAGAGTGTCACTCACACATCTTTCAAAGAAGAAACACATCACGGAAGCAAACCCAACCATCGGGCAACAACCCATTCCCATTACAAAACGAAACCGCGTCCCCCCACACTCCCGTTTGCAGCGCACAACACACGCACAAACACAAACACAAAGACGCCGCAACGAACACAGGCAACAATGAGGCAGACCGTGGCGATTCGATTGGCACGATCGGTCGGATTCCCATCGAGGCATTCCGCCGGGCACCCGGCGAGGCACCTCTCCTCGTACGGAAGGGCGGGCGGGGAATTCCAGAACCACCAGCAGAGCGGCACCGAGCCGCCGCAGCGGACCCACGCCCAGAGCGCCGAGGGATCCCGGCAGCCGGGCCAGCAGCAGCGCGGCTTCACCAGCATCAACAACCGAACGCCCTACAACCTCTGCTTTTTGCGCCACGGCCAGAGCACCTGGAACCGGGACAACCGGTTCATCGGGTGGACGGACACCCCCCTGACCGACGACGGGGTCCTCGAGGCGCGGGTGGCCGGAAAAATGCTCAAGAACAGCGGGATTCTCTTCGACGAGGTCCACACCTCGCTCCTGAGGCGGTGCATCCGAACGACCAACCTCGTCCTGATGGAGGTGGAGCAGGAGTACATTCCCGTGCACAAGGTAAGCAACGCCGCGGTGGCTGCTTCGGGCGGGCGACAGGCAACGGCTCTGGCAGAACCGATTTTCGTTTCGGCGCTGGCTGGTGGAATCGTTGGTGTTGGGCCGTTCCGGTGGCTGATATCGTTGTTGTCGTGGTGGCTCTTGCTGTTGTCGTTGTCGTCGTCGTCKTCGTTGTCGTTTTTGTTCTATCGTCAACAATCTCACGTTGTGATTTCTTCCCCGGATTGCGTGGTCCCTGTTCCGACTCGAAGCACTGGCGGCTGAACGAACGGAATTACGGAGAGCTCGTCGGGAAAAACAAAAAGGAGACGGTCAAACTGCACGGAAAGGAGCAGGTGAAACAGTGGAGGAGATCCTACGACCAGCCACCGCCGGAGATGTGCGACCACCACAAATACCATCCCGCCAGGGACCCCAGGTATAGGCAGATGAAGCACCTCATTCCCAAATCGGAGTCCCTGAAAGAAACCAAAGCCAGGTCGAGCGTGTACTGGGACGACGTGATCGCCCCCGAGCTCCGCGCGGGAAAAACCCTCCTAATCGTGGGCCACGAGAACAACCTCCGATCGATGATCATGAGGCTCGAGGGCATCCCGAAGGAAGACATTATCAATCTGTGCCTTCCCCGGGCCGTCCCGCTGGCCTACAGGCTCGACGAAAACCTCAAGCCCATCGACCGCCCGGACGGAAAACTCGACGAGGCCACGGGGTTTCTGAGGGGCGAGTGGCTCGGGGGGGACCAGGCGGTCCTCGAAATCCTGGAGCGAGACCGGAAGCAGGTGTACGACACGACCATTCGGAAAAACCTGGAAACCTGCGACGCCGATCGGAACAAGTGGAAGGATTGGATGAACCTGGTGGTCGGAAAAGCCGGCCCGGAAGCCCAGGCAAAGAGCAACCCGGGAGAAAAGGCCGCCTAGGATATTCCAACAAACCAATACTTTTGGCACGGCACAATGACCAAGAAAACAGTGCGGGGAGGTGTACACAACGAACTAAAAAGCTAATAGAAAACCACGTCGTTATCACTCGACAAAGCGGTTCCGCCGTCACATTGTACAACAACGATAGAACAATTCACAATCCGTTTCAGACGACCGTATATTTTGGTGCGCGACCGAAAAGGATAATGAAATAGCAAAATTTAAACAAGGAACATGATATACAACTTAGGTCTCGAAGATCGTCGGCATTAGATGTAGCTAACAGTAGTTATTTGTGAAGAATGAATTTCAAATACTGATTTTTGAGTCTTTTATGGAAAATATATATTTCCTATTATTTGATTTGCGCTCCGACCGAGACGATAATTTCTTTGCAATCAGCTTTCGGTAAAGGGCGGGATCTCTGTGGACCATTCTGGTTTCGCAGGCAGTGCTTTGTACGCATCTTGCAACTGTTTTGTGATTGGCCCACGAACCCCCGTCCCGATGACTCGACCATCTATGTTTGTTACGGGGGTAAGCTCGCCCATAGTCCCCGTCGTGAACACTTCTTCCGCTGCGTGGAATTCGGCCAGGCTCACCCGTCTCACTTCGTGCGGTATGCCCAACTCCTTGGCGAGCACGAGCACGGTGCCTCGCGTAACTCCGGGAAGGCAGTGGTCCCCGTGCGGGGTCAGCAGCACCCCTTCGTCGTCCACCATGAAAATGTTTGTGGCATTCGTCTCGCTCACGTACCCGTCCATGTCTAGCATGATTGCGTCCGCGCATCCAGCGAGGTTGGCCTGGATTTTTGGCAAGATATTGTTGATCATGTTGTTATGATGGATTTTAGAATCACAGGTAGAAGGAGAATTGCGTCGCTGCGAGGCCGAGATCAGTGAGATCCCCTTCGTGTTGTCGTACGTAGTCGCTCCCTGTGGCACAAAGTTTAGAAGAAGTGATCACTTGTTAGCTATCCAAAATACGATTGAACTGTGCCCTTTTAAAAAAAATAGAACGATGTCACTTACTTCCGTAGGCTTCCATTCGGGTAAGATAATTAACGTTGTGCCGTACACGTTGAAGACCGGGTTCATACTAGATGTGTATTTTTCACCGCGGCTGAGGGTCAAACGCATATGTGCATCATTCCTCATTCCATTCGCCGCCAAAGTTTGAAAGATTGCTTCCGTCACTTCTTCTTTCGTGTGAACATTTTCAAAGCCCAAAGCCTTTGCAGACCGAAAAAGTCTTCTCAAATGCTTATCGAGGGACATAATTCTTCCATTGTAAACTAGCAAATAAAATTGTAGATATAATCTTCAGCGTTGAGACAGCAGAAACGAACTGAAACTGGGTAATGTAGCAAAAAAACTCTGCCAACGTACCTCTGATACCTTCCCAGCATCCATCACCACCCTGAACAGACGAATCCCATGGACTGACGCCAGCTTGAGATCGAGGAAGTAGACGGCCATAACCAGGGGCTCCGATCCATACGAGTAAATGTTCGTTTCGTGGGTCCTCATATAGTTGACTTGCAGGAGGGCCCCGTTTTTGATAGGGAGTTGTGAGATGCGAAAGGAATAGATAAGCCGGCATCGAGATTTGCAATCCTTGCATCAGTTCTGGATTCAGTGTGCGATATTTTTTCTTTGGGGATGAGTTCCACCCAGTCGACTTGTGAACACTGCATATAACAAAAAGAGAGAGATTGTTGAGTTTGGCCTATTCGTACGAAAACATAAATTAGACTTTATGATTCAAGAAAATTAAACATGATTTCCGAACATACCTGTGATACCACCACTGAAAAAAGTTGCAAAGAAACGATTGATTGGGTATTTTTAGAACTCGTCGACTTTTGTCTTTGTTTTCATTCAAGAAACGAATTCAAGAAACGCATTCAAGAACCGCTGAAAAATCTGGTGGACGTACCTTTGCCCAGGGACCGTCACATTTGTGCTCACCCTCTGCCCAAGAGAGCATAGAGTCACTGTAGTCGATCGATAGACGCTCGCACAAGTCCAACAGAGATCCTTTTGGATCTTTTGCAAGCTCGTCCGAATCGATCACAAGAATGGGCTGATCTGTTTTGCTCTCCAATTCGCTGTAAATCGACATCAAAGAGACAACACCTATTTCTTCGGACGATGGGCTGTTGCCGTGCACTTCTCCAACCGCTCCCCACGCCGATAGCACAGTAACCGGATCTCGGATCAGGAGGACGTGCCTATGTAGCAACTCTACTTCTGGAGTTCCTGTCAGTTTGTATTCGTTGTCGAAATCGTACAGGAACGCATGCTTTGCCATGTGCTTGCAAAATATGACACCTTCCCCGGGTGTGGCCTTCAGTTTTGCAGCTCCCAATTCGAGTCTTTCAGAAAGGGACAGCAGTTCTCTTCTCCATCGTTCGGGGTCGTCTTCTCCCTCTGGCGGGGTTCCTGCAATGAGATCTTCCAAGTAAGGGCGAGTCAGTGACTCTTTTTTCGCCTCGAGATACTCCCTGTACAGCGGTTCATCGAATGGGATGCATTTGTCATCTCCGAGTGCTTCGAAGGAGTATAGTAAGGCAGTGGAGCGGCTTCTTGGGGCCGACCAGCAGTGAACCACAGTTATTGTCTTCATTGTACACTATGTAAATTCAATTTAAAATCTCAATGAATCTGGTTTAGCTTTGCATCAATGACTACTTCTATCATGGCAACTCGCCGTATTAGTATGGGAATGGTTCTAGGATTTTGCGTGCTGTAAATATCCCTGATTTTTGATCTGTTTTGTCACTACGGTACTTTTTGGTTTTCGTCGAAAAGATCCCCCTCTGCAAAGTTCCGATTCAAACATGTAGTCGAGTGAGTCGACGTTCAGGTTCCCAATACTTTTCAGATCTTCACCTAGATGCGATATGATTCATACATATATAAAGTACCCATATTCTCAATCCACCCCTAAGCAGTTTCAAATTGGATTCATATTAATTATTTTAATGTTTCCTGTTCTATAAATTTTAGGGGTCCTTTCGAATTCATTGTACTGTAAAAGTTCTGTACCGCATAACGGTAGTAATGCTGAGGTACGGTAATACCGCGATATTCGTACTCATCTCTCCTTTTTTCAACTCAGCTGCTTCAAGGTCAGGTTTGTACTAGTGATCAATAGTGGTTCAGTACGTGAATTACCCTACTTAACTTGCTCCGGTCCTAATGTATGTAGGAGTTCTAGTACTGGGCCCTAATATGGACTGTAGTTCTTTTCTCGGATGTTCTGCGATTCGCATCACTCTTTCCTAATTTTGTTCCGAACTTGGGTTCTTTGTCATAACAACAGACACTGTCATTTTTCAATTTATAAATCGGATATCAAACCATCTATCAAAGGTAAGCCACAACCTTGTCTATCCAGTCGTTTTGACAAATGAGTCTTTCCATTACTTTTGTGCAAGACGGTTGAGCGTGCAAGAAAAGTTCCTTTGGCCTTGGGAATCCATGAATGCATTTCGCGACACGACTAAGCATGGAGCGGCGAACATCTACTACGATTGAGACGACGAAGAATCATGAGACATCAAAAGGACGTCAACACACAGCGACCACTCAAATGCGAAAATATATCCATTGTCGACTAGAGCTGTTCGAGTGAATGTATGATCGTCACTTTTTGGACGACGATACGATCGCATCGCTTCTCTTTTCGAAGTGTCTCCGAAGAAAGAATAACAAGAATTGTTTATTATCTATTCATTCTTGTCATTTTTCCTAGGACTCTTGTACTGGGCGGATATTCCGTCTTTTGTTACCAATGGTTGATTCACCCTGAAGCCAAGATTGTTTTTTCAGTTTCATATCATTCCTTCTTGGACGGACGTAAAAGATGTCGTGCATGATGGTATTGATCGAAAATTCATAATTGGTGGTTAGCAATCCGACGCACCGATGTCAGATGCCGTTGATGGTGAGAAGATCAGCATGGTGGTAAGGGAGAAGAAAAGAACATTCGCAATTTTCTTGACTCTCCTCTCTATTTTCTGCTCACCGCCACGACGGTGTGCCTTCAAAAAAACGCCAAAAAAGGATCCGAGAAAAGGAATTTGGCGTACGGCATGGTTCAAAAAGACCCTCCGATATTTTCGACGGTGGAAAGTCTCCAATGCCACATGGAGCGATACATGCGCGTGTCGAGGGGGTGCGACAAGAAGAAAAAATGCTACGGACTTCTTTCGAAGCGGTTCAACACGTACGAGGTTCAATTTTTTTTTGGGAGAAGATTGTCATACGTACCTCGCCGTACTTTGTAGTCGTAGACACTCGCGCACAGTCACACAACGAATCGTGGAAATACTAGCCAATCAGTCTCAGTCACGTTTGAAAACACTTTTTTCAAAAAAAAAAAAACAGCTGATCGATTACGTACCAATGAAGGAAGTGATTATCTCACGAACGATCTTCTTTGCCAACTTCCTTTTCTTACACTTGTTTATGATCACGTGACCACGACAGTTGCACAGAACATGAAGTTTGGAAAAACTCTTGCTGAACGAACCTTGAAAGAATGGCGTTTTTATTATGTTGATTACAAGGATTTGAAAAAATGCATCAACAAATCAAAAGAAGATTCCCTGTCCCAAGAGGAAACAAAAGCCGCGTTCGATGCAATCCTTCACCTTTCTGAGAAGAAGTTAAGCAAATTCTACCATGACAAACAAGCATGGGCTGAAGGATACATTCCGACGTTGGAAACACGTGTCGAAGATTTACGAAAATCCGCATCGCTTCCCGGATCTCCAGGATCACCCTCCAGTATCAGCATGAATGGATCTATGACCTCCGATGATTTTGAGGTTTTGACTAGCTCCAGTCCAACCGGGATTGCAGATAACCTCCAACTTCGCCTGGACAAATTAACCATCGATGGCAACGAACGCGATTCGGATGGAGCGTTTTTGAAGCAGGCTTACCGTCAAATGGGTGCATCCAAGCACTTTCAAGACTTCATCTACGCAAAAAAATCCCTGGTCACATTCCAACGAGAGTTGGATCTCCTCCTCGAATTCCTTGATATCAATAAGACGGCATTTTCGAAAATTCTTAAGAAATTCGACAAACAGACTGGGTCGTCTTTCCGAGAGGACCGTCTCGATGAGATTCTACAGAGAAATGCATTCCTCGAAGGAGAAGTCCTCATGAAGATGAAACGAAGGGTGGAGGGTTTGATAGAGGAGGTAACCTCGCTCAAGCCCCGCCTTCCCAACGGCTGGGAAAATCGCAAAGTTTATACAATTGGTTGCTTCGATTTGTTTCACCGAGGGCACCAGAATGTTCTTCTTTCGCTGAGGGAATTCGGAGCTTATCTCATAGTAGGCATCCATGACGACGAAAGCTATTTTAAGCTCAAGAATAAATACACCATCGACAACCTCGAAACTCGCATGAATAATGTGAAGCCATTTGCAGACCAGATTTATGTCATTCCATCGACCGACCCATTGGTATACATCAAGAACATGGTATCCGACCAAGACATAGCGAATGGATCATGCTGCTATGCTAGAGGAGACGATATGCTAAACTTCCCATCGCGGGAATGGGTTGAGTCGGTCATGCCGGTCCACTTCGTGCCAAGGACTGAAGGATGTAGCTCGACTCTTATTCGAACAATCTATCATTCAGAGAATCAAGAACTCCGACAGAAAGCGGCTTTCGCAAAAACGCGCTACGACGGAAAACCTATTGATGAAGATGGCAACGTGCTCAAGCTGAAAGCATGAATTCCATCCTCCTATTTTTGAAAATCACACCAGTTTCATTTTTCTTCATCTTCGTTGGCACATTATCGAAGCTTATATATAGCTGTTTTACTTTTAGGTCTAATTTCTATTTAATGACATTCTGTTTGAAAAAGCTAATACTGACATGATTGTGTCGGAGCGTAGAATACTTCCTTCAGCGTTTTGCGTGAACTATTAGCTCTGACTTCATGCGGTACGTATGCTGTATTTTCAATTCAATACCTTTCAGTATTTATGGTACTCTGACGTTTTGGTCATGATTAGAGAAGTCGATTCTGTGCTTGTTGGACGTTGCGTCGTCCCTTCTTTGATTTTTCTCGTTTCAGGTTTTTCTCTCCATGCCTTAGCCACTCCGTTGGATCTTTACCGATCAAATCTACCAAACCAACCACATCCTCGACTCCGTTTCGTTTGCACAAAACTCTCAGATCTGATACATATGCTTCACTCGGTGCGGCACCATGTTTCGATATACATTCCTTCAAAATCAAAATTGCGGATCCAAGCTGATCATGTCTGCTATAAAACTGAACCATAGATCCGTAACTTGCAATATCCAAATTGCGTCCATCTTCTTCAATTTGCTCTTTCAATTCCAAAGCTCGTGTGAGTCTTTTGTTACCAACAAGCATTTGGAGAAGCAGACGATCGCTGTATGGCGATGGGGTCTGCGATGGGTTCCACAAAAGGGAAGGTTAGTTGCATGGCAGATCAATTACCGTTTTTTAGATCAATTCGTGTCGAAGACATCCCTAGCTAGATTGTAACTGCGCTTTTGTACTTACTATATTGTGCTTTGCGAACTCTACTTTGTGATATTCAATGGCGTCGTTGAGAGATCCCGAATTCGCCTTCACTTCCAGCATCGAGTTAAGTAGAGAAGCATCTACAATGCCATCTTCGGACGCTTTTTGCAGTGCAAAGTCAGCATTTTTCTTGTTGCTCCTTTTGAGTCGACCAGAGGAAAGATAATCTGGCATGGTTTCTCTGAGGATAGGCACAAGTGTAAGCAGCGATGGATGCCCCAATGTTTGTTCGTATGCATCGGAGATCTTCCTGAGCCTACGAAGAGGCATCCCCGGGAGGACACTCTGTAGGTCTTCTATTTTGGCAATTTGACCTGGATTTAAACCGGCCAAAGCTTTGGCTGGTATATCATTACTCGTCCTTTCGAGCTCATTCTTTTCCAAACTTTCTTGTCTCCCTTCAAACGAGAAAAGGTCAAGTTTTGAACGCATTTGATCCATAAGCTCCTCGATCTCAATTTCACTTAGATCCAATTCTTCATTATCTTCTCCAACTTCCTCTTTCAATTCAGCGAGTGCTTGATCGAAAGCTTGATCGAAGCTATCCGGACTGGACACGTCATCTCCATCAACGACGCGATTAAATTCTTCTATTGTTTCATATAACTTGTGAGCTTCTTCGTCGTCCAAATCAAATTCTTCGCCATGTATGGTAGGTTGATCTTTGAGTTCGGAAACAACTTTATCGAAAACATCTGTCTCGATGTGCTGCTGAGACAACTCTTTCTCTTTAGAAAGCTTTAGACATATGACATAGTGATACGAGTATAGCAAAATTCGTGATCAAATTTAGAAAAATCGAGCGAGAATCAACTTTGAACCTTCGTAACGAGAATGACCTGTCAATCCTGTTGTAAAGATGAAAAAAACTCACCTGTTTTCCTTCGTAATTCTGATCTCGCAAAGCGTACTTGCTATCAGCAAAAGTAACGTCGTCTTCGTCTTCGTCATCGTCCGAGAAATCATCGTAATCCTCCAAATTGTCCTCATGGTCGAAGCTATTGTTGTCTCCTCGAACGTCATCGAGAGTTGCTATGTCGTCGTCATCAAGGAAAAGACCACGAAACTTTTTCCTTTTTCCTGGGGTGTACTCGTAGTCTTTTTCTCTCTCGTCGACATGACGAAGAGCTCCAACACCAACTTTTGTACTGCTTACACCTGGTACACTGTTATCGCGATAATTGGGCTCCCATCGTGTGGTGATCAGACGCAACGAATTCTCGCAAAGATATCCTAGATTTTCTCTTCCTGCCCACATGGTGCCAATTCCATTTTTGTTCAATGCCTGAGCACACGAATGGACCAATGCAGATATCACCCTGGTATCGTTCCCGTACTCCCTTTCCCCGAAAGTCGCAATATCCTTACTGCTTTGCGATGACTTTTGCAACGATCCTTCCACGACGATTAAATCGGAGAATTTTCCTCCATTCTTCATGGTACCGGATTCCAGCTGTAAATCATTGTTGTGACCATCCAGTTCTTGGGGTCTCGACCCTCCGATCGTGCGAAGGTGATCCAGTTTGCGTACTTCCGAGGCCAGAAGGATCGCTTTGGCCGTTGCCGAGTCTCCCGCGGCAGCCGTACACAGCATCAAGGCCGAAAGAAATCCGTCGTCCTGCTGAACCTCCGCGGCTTCGGCTTGGATGACGATCTGGCGCGCCATTTTCCCGTGATGGGCCGTCATGGTTTCTCGTTTCATGTCTTTGCGCGAGGTTCCACGCTGATACCGATTTGCAATTTCGTGGCTCCTCGCAACGGCTTTGAGGGCTGCGGTGAAACAAAGAGTAGTCGGTTTGACCTCAAACCGTTCCATGTCTTCCAACAACCCGATGGCTCGTTCTGGTAGACCCCTTGCTGCACACAGTCGGAGAATGGCTCCGTACGCCATGACTGTACGCAGGAAACACCAACGAGAATGAGTTGTGAGTTCGAGAAATCGTACCTCGTGTTGGGAAACGCGGTTAGATAACTTACCGTCTGGTTCGATGCCAACAATGCGCATCTCTTGCCAATACCTCCATCCAAAGTCCCCGGCCTTCGCACGGATTGCATGGGGAATCCTTCCCGAATCACTGCAAATCTTGTAGCACGCCGCCAAGAGCGAGGTGTAAGCAGCCTGCGTCGGTGCGTGCCCCCCCTGGGATGCCATCTCCTTCAAGACTTCTCCGCAACCCTCGAAGTCTCCTAGTTTGGAATGGATCTTTCGCGTGATTTTTTCGAGGGAAACGAGAGAACTACCAGTGAGTCGGTTCGGTCGGATTCGCCAAAGCAACAATGCAATGCGGGGCAACAGGAACGCAAAAGCGTAGCTAACCGGGGAAGGGATCGTGCGGTACTTACATCCACTAGGATCGACCAGCTGTAGGCAGAAATTTCGTGGTTCTGGTCCCGCATCAGTTTGAATATGCGTCGCCCCTCCTGGGGAGTCTGGCAGCACGTCATCAGTGTCGTGTAGGTGTATTCGCCAAAGGCCGACACCGGCACACCCAAATCCTGCAGCAAATGCTGGAGGGCCCGAATGATGCCGATGGGCTTCTGTCTCGTGCCGTGGCGATCCCTAAAAGCCCGCAGGGTTTTCGAAATGTCCTGGTCCGAGGGGAGGGCGACCGCTTCCACCGAAACCGGCAGGTCGTCGCCAGCTCTTTCCTCGTTTTCGTCCAGGCGTTGTTTGGCGTCGATGGCCTCTCGATATGCATCCATCTGATCGGCCACCCTGTTGTAAAACCTGGTGTGGTCGTGGTTGTCGTTTTCGGGACGCGTTGAGCAAAAAAGAAAGGAAAGAAAAGATTAGGAAACACCACGCAACGCAACGCAACGCCTTGCACAACTTTTGGTCGTAGTTTTTCTCGCCCCTTGGTTCCTCCGGTTTCTCGGTGGATCACACAAACAACAGCAAAAACAAAAACKCACTCTCTGTGCCTGTGCCCCAAATATACCGGCTCGGGTGTCGGCTGGCTCGTAAGATACGAAGTGTTGCCCACGAGATCCTCCAGGATGGCGTCCTCGAAGGTGTATTCGTCTTCCTGTTGCGCCAAGGGGAGCAGGCTGTCTTCGTCCCTCCCGTGGGTCAGGAGCTGCTCCCAGCGATTCCGGGCCCACTGCCGCCTCGGCCCCGCCTTGGACCCGGGGGCGGAGTGCCGCGCCCTCTCGTCGGCGGCTTTCTTCATTCTCCGGTTGTAGGCCCGGCGCTTCTTTTTCGTGGGCGGCCGGGGTTTCGAAAAGGCGGAGGCGCGATCGTGTCGCCGGAACCGCAGCTGCTGGGCATGGACCTCGCCAAAGACCCCGCTCGGCCGCTCGAACCGCCGGCGGACACCACCGCCGGCGCTCGGGGAGGACGCCAAGCAGGAAAATTCCCTCGGGGTCGAGCCCGCGAACCGACGAGCCGAAACCGCCACCCGCGGCCGCAACAGCGACTCCGCTATCTTTGCGAGGTGTCTCTCTGTCATGGCTGCCCGCGGAAGCTAGTTTGGGTATCGTTTGCTGTGTCGTGGCGACGGTGGACGACCGCGAAATGGTTTGGTGCTTCCTCTTCCCTGCACACCAGTATGAAAAACAACAGGAGAAAAATGTGATCTTTCTTTTTTACGGGTGGGATCGGGGGAGTTGATGGCGACAAAAAGCAATGGATCAACACACCGACGCGCGCGACAGATGGGATTTTCTTTGTTTCGCGCGAAAAGTTTCATGTATCATGTACCGGTATCGAATCGAATCGAAATTGAGATTTGAACGTGACAGCTCATGGTTCTCGGTTCCCACCATCAACAAGAACGATACGCTACGTACAGTACAAGTACGTACGGTTACCACGAGAACCCAACTCGAACGGTATGTACGCTTGCAGCTTTCTGTTTCGATGCTATTCGATAGCAGCACGTTACTACCCATCACCTGTCAACTGTCAACCAACTTCCAGAAACGATACCACGTGCGCCCAACCATTCGTTGGAGAAACATGGTCGACGCACTGCAGGAAGTACCGCCCCTCCCTGCCGCCGGAAACGCCCCAGAGAACCCCCGGGGGATGGACGGTCCGCACAACATCGTTTCGGCGGGAGAATCTGCCGCGGGGGACCACAACGACGACTTTTTTTCTGCGACGGACGAGGACCTCGAAGACGACGAGGAAGGCCGCGCGTACCACCGCTGGGATCCCTCCTACGCCTCGGGCGCGAGCGATTCCGGGGCGGGGGGAGACCGCGACACCACCGGCATCGGCATCGGCAGCTACGCAGATTTGTTGTACGACGAGAACCTAGACGAGGAAGACGAGGCCTACGTGTACAAGCACATACGGGGCGGGATCAGGGAGGCGGTGACCGTCCGCACCGCACCAACGAAGGGTCCCGGCCCCGCGGCCGCTGCCGATGGCGCTCCGGTGTCCGGTGGCGAAACGGGGACGACGCGCACGCAGAGACCACAACAACAACAACAACAACAACGGGTCGTCGAGATGTACAAACCACGGAGCAGCGACGCCGTTCTGAGCTGCCCGTGCTGCTTCAACATTGTGTGCATGGATTGCCAGAAGCACAAGCGCTACGCGAACCAGTACCGCGCCATGTTCGTCATGGGAATCGCCGTCGATTGGAACCACGTCCTGGTCTACGACGAGGCAAAACGCGCCCTCGTGTCCAAGGCCCCGGCGCAAGGCGAAGCGGGAGGCGACCCCGCGGGTGCCGCCAAGCCGTTTGTTGCGGCCGGGGGCGGAGAATACTACGCCGTAGAATGTGCCGCGTGTGGCACCCGGGTTGCGGCCCTGGACATGAGAGACGAAGTGTACTACTTTCAGGGTTGCTTGGAATCCTCCTCGGCGTTTTGACGCGCTTACCAAGGCGTGCAAGCGCACGACGGGCAAACGCATTGCTGTAGAGTATGTACGTACTGTTTTGTACAAATAGCAAAAATCGTTTCTTTCCGTAGACGCTGATCGCGGGAAGACAGCTGGGCGGCACAGAGAAGCGTCTCGCGATCTCCACGAAGAAGCACGATTTCTGTACACTATAAAATTCCGCTGTTATACTTCAAGGGCAAACTCCATGGTAGTAGTTGTTTGCTTCCGTAGTAGGGAGGTTCATTAACAGCGACAAACGCGTCCTCTGCATTGAGGTGGAAAGCATTGTTAAACTTCTTTCAGGACCATTTTCAAGATCTACGCTCTCAGCGATAGCAATTATCCGTTTGATGCAATTCAAAGTGTTTGCTTTTGATGATTTTAATTATTTTTCCGTTGTACATGGCATTCGATACCTTTATCCTATTGAACAGATTCAACGCCTAATGGGCTGGAAACACGAATGATTTTGCATCGCTGCGTCATACCAAAAGCGCCAGATCTTCCGCAAACGCGAAACCATACGATCCTTTGGACTCGATCCTGCTCTGCTCGTTGCTTTTGATCTATTCCGACGATGTGACCATGTTGCACATGTTGGCGATCGCCGAATAGCTGACGCCTGCTTGGAACACACGGCTGCGCTTGGTGTTGTCGGACGAGGCAACAAAGGTGACCGTGTCCGAGCTCACCGATTCGACACACGGAACGTCGTTTAGTTTCGCGGCCGCGGATGCATCCATATTGAGATTCGCCAACACCTTTTCCAGGCTTGCGGTTCGGTAGGTCAGAGCCATGGCCTCGAGGATGCCTTTTTGGACGGTTTCGGTGGATCGGCCCACGCACACCTCCATATATTTGTCGCCCTTTAATGTCCCAAAAAGATCCCAGAATTCCGAAAATTTACAAGCATCCAGAGCCTTGCAACATCGCAGAACGGAAGAAACTGGCTCGGTCTTTTGGAGTCGCTCGGGGATGAGGTAGGAGAGGGCCAACCAGTCTGTGTTTGGCGAGGGATATTCCAGCATTGCAAGCAACAAAACCAACGCGACCTTATTGGGATCGGCTGCTTTGGGAAGAAATTGGTATATCTTCAGCAGGGCCTTGTTGGCTTCGAAGTAATAGTCACCCTCTCCCGTCGCCTGGGCGTCAACATAACCCTCGAGTGTAGATTGGTTCGATGATTTGTAGGAACCCTTTCTCATCAAGGTTTCGACATATTCTCTGGGTGGTTTCTCTTCGTCGGTGCTCATATTGAATGTATTCTAAAACTAGCTTGGACGATATTGGCTTTTGGTCAAATTGAGTTTTACAAGGCTACTCGGTGGGACTCCGGTCGTGTTGTCACAGCAGTGTGGTCTGTCGTTCACGATGTTAGCGCCTGTACGGTACGGTATGAAGGTGGCAAACAAGTTTCTTACAAGCGGCTTCTTGTTTTTCGAGGTTTTGCGCCGCGTTATTTAGCTTGGAACGCTTATTCTCGGTGCATTGTTGTGTTGGATCAGGAGGTCAGGAATCGACAACGTCCGTCGTCCGTGTGCACAACATTTCTGACGTATGGACAGACTTCAAACTTCAAACAGTTTCGCCCATGCACTTGGTTTGCAGCTGGATGGTACAGCGATCTTCTTTAGTCTCTTTCAGAATTTTATCGGAATCCTCGATTGATTCATTTGATTCACTGGCCCCGTCAAAATCACGAACTCAATCCAATTTCAATCCAATTTCAAAAAATCTTCGAAAAGGAATCCAAATCTAATCGACATAAAAGTACAATTCTGGAAGGTTTCGTGAACTGAACCATCGGTTCCGGTGAACATTACCCGCTGCACTATCGAAGTTACTATTGATGGATTCCAACTTCACGAGCAGATTGTGGAGAAAACACAAATCGAATCCTCCACCTTCCGCGGCGCAATGTCGGACAATCACCACACCGGATCCCTTCTTTGGACCCTGGTGAATTTGATCGTTGTGTTCCTGTCCGTAATTCTAGCAACCGATATCGTCTTTGCCGTGGACGATCGACAGGAACGACCGGGAGCCATTGCAGAGCACCTGGTGTACAACGTTGGGACCTCGGTGCTATGGGTCGCGGAGGTGGCCTGGAATACCTACGACATGGTAACCCTGGAACAGCGCCCACCCCACTGGAAGCTTTCGCTCGCTGTGGAATGGGCTATCTCGATATACTTCGTCGTTGACTCCATAAATCTCATGCTACAATGGAGAGGTGTAGTGAATGGTAACGGGGACGAGGAACTGGGCTCGGGGCTTTTCGACGCGGTGCAGGGGATTGTGACGTATTCCTACTTGGCCGCGTCCTCTTTTCTTGCGTACGAGACCTCGATGCCATATCAGCCGATCCAAGACGTGACGCCATCCTTATACCCATGGCCAATGAATTCGGTCCAGCCCGATCCGATCACGCGAAATACAGGGGTTTGAAACACTGGCACAGTAGATGCAAAAAATTCTTGCTACGTGATCAATTCTTGCCAACAACGAAGAAACATAAAACTCAAAATGTTGATATGCAACCATCATACAAAAGGGAATGACGCGAACCTTTTTGAGTACCATTAGTAGACTGTATATTAAGCATGATCTAGTTTCGATGTGCAATAGGCGTTCCTTTTAGACAATGCACAATTGTTACAAAGGTTAAGAGCGGCTTTCGAACAATTTCAGTTTTTCGAGTACTTGCTCTCCGAGACGACGGGGAACAAAAATGGATTTGCTGTGCAATACATCAATTCCGGAAACAAGGTTTTTCGCATATTTGTGTGCTTTGTCGATCTTGTTTCCTCCCGAAAATTCCGGATCCGACAAATGCCAAACAATAATTTCATCATAGGGAAAAGCAGATTCTTCACCGAGCACGTCTGACGGCAAAAGATCGATGTGAATTATGTTTGTGGAGTATGCCTCCCATCGGACCGAGCAAAAATGCTGGTCTAGCTTCCCGGTGAGCAGAAGGATCCTTTCTAATGTGATCATGAGGATCAAGGGTGCGGAATCGATGTCACCTCTCGATCTGAAGTACGACTTGAGCTGCCGGACTCCTTCGGCATGGTAGAAATATCCCTCTCCTAAATGGAGGCCCGAACGGACTCGGGACAATAACGCCTTCCCCGCGTTCTCTCCTTCGACGTATTCCACGAGGAGATCTTTTCCATCCAAGTGGGCAAACAACCGAGGATTTCGTGACCGGACCAAGCCACGCGTGTGTCGTGCGCTACTGCTTTTGGGGCTGTATTTCATTTGGGAGGAAATTAGTGAAATCATCATCGATGTGTTATTAAAAACAAACGCCAAACCATTGACAAATGGTGAGCAGATAGTCTTCAAAAAGTCGGAGCGATGTTCTGTATACTGCACGGGATTGCCGTCGTCGTAGCTTGGGACAAGTTTGTAGTCTGGCTGAAGTAGCTTAGTCAGCTGCGTAGAGTAGTACCTCAGACACAATGCCCAAGAATCTAGGATCGATGCATATCCTTCTCTGAACGTGTGAAAAACCCCTCTGAACAGAAAGGTTGGGTTGGCAGAAAGTCCCATGAAAACGTCGACAACTCTCCAGATACTCATGTAGTGAGATCTTAAAATTTGAAGATGATCCTCGACATTGCCGTACGCATGTGAGTTAGAGAATGGACGGAGTCGCATAGGGAGTCTCTCAAATGTCAGGGCTTTGAAAAGCGACGAAGAAAGTAATCCAGGAAGAACACCCGACCAACTCAAATCTGCTCTTGTTGTTGAAATCTTGAGCCGCTCAATGTAAAATTTGTGCTGAGCTTTCGACATCAATGGTTGCTTCTTTCTTTTCCTTGATGCATTTTCAATTAAGTAATGACCGCTGCGAGGTGTGGATTGCTGAACATACGCTGGACTGTCTCTGAGTTTGGCAGCTATTGCTGCTGTCGTCAAGGGCTCTTGCGATGCATCGTCCTGGAGCGAATGATGTGTTCTTGATGAGACAACACTATCTTCGGAGTATTCACCAACACCGCTACTTGTGAGCAGTGATTTTAGTTCTTCGTCACGGGATTGAAATGCTGAACCATCTTCGCCAGAAGAACTAATGGATGCAACCTGGCGAGCCATACGAACGAGCAAACCTGCAAGTTCTCCGTCCACATTAGCGAATATAGGTTCTGAAGACACTTCTATCCAATCTAGAAGTGTAAGATTGCCATATCCTCCATGTGTGTTTAGTGAGCTCTGCCATAATATCGAAATTGCATTGTGTCGTCGATTTTTTCTACGGATGTTTGCTTTTCCAGTATGCCGGTGACCCATTTTCAAAAAGACCGGATAAGGAGTAACCCATAGTTGATTGTTAAGCTTAATGCTTCCGATTGAAAAGCGTACGTCGTCCTTCTTGCCGTCCTTTTTTCTGTTAAGCTCTATATCCTCGAGGCAAATGTAAAGCAATTCTTTCGGCGAAAAATCCACAACGCTTATACCGATCCCTTGCGACATATTAATAGAAAACGATGTTGTCAGAGGTTTCAATACCTCTGGTGCACTTCGGAAGTAGTCGAATTCGCCTTGTCGAGCACTAGATATTCGAGGCATCGAGGCATCTGACACACGAAGTACTCGGGTTGGCCCATCTGCTACTACTTCGCCGGTGAACAAATCACTGTCCAACTGAAGAACAGTTCCAGGAGCAATTTTGTCGAGTTGAAACTTTCCGAACACGATGTCTCTTGGATTATCAATAGATCCTGAGGCCTGAAGGAGCAGCGCTCTGCGACTTATTTCTGGTTCATCCCAAGCAAAATCCTCAGTTTGATATTGAAGCAGTAATGAGTCACAATCATTTTCTTCTGACCCTATTCCCAACAATACCTGACCAAATCTAAGAGGGTACATGGTGTGGTTTTCTAGACGAAAAGGCGGGTGACTCGATTCGCGAAAAACAATGAGATTCGTCGCGGATTTTTTACTGCTTCGTACTTCCACTGTGATAATGATTGTTTGTCCTTTCATTTTGTGGCGAATGCGCATTGTGACCTCCCTTCTGTTTAAGCGAATTTTGAAACGGCCAGACCATGCCCATCCGAATTCTTTGAATCGAAATCGAATTTCGCGAGAGTCATCAAAATGAAAAGGTTGTGGTGACGTTGTCGCACGCACGACCAAAGTTGTGGTTGATCCCGCATTTGCAGCAATTTCAATATCACGTCCAGTTTCATTTGATATTGAATACCTGTTGACTATGTGAATTAGTTTGGTTCCCAACTTCCCGCCAAATCTATTGTTTGCATTCACAATACTCGACCGCAAAATTATACGGTCGAGGTTCTGGCCATCGTCACCCTTTGACTTGAAAGTACTTGTTATTTCGTCGGGGGTTAGCACTGTGAGATCATATGTAGCCTTCCGGCCAACTTGCAAAGGAATTGAGTCAGACCAAGGTGAAGCATTACCTTGCATCAGAAGTCTCTCATTTCTCGACAACCGTTTCCGCACTGTTAATCTCGGGGCATTTTCGTCTCCTATCATGAGTACGTCGAATCCAGACCCCGATGAAGCATTCAGAAAATTCTGGTTGTCCATAAGTTCAGCAAGGCCCAGCGTATTTCCAAATTTTTGCCTCCTTTCTTCTTCGTCGTCAATTCTATCGCTCCTATCAAGTTGACCAGCAACTGGAGACCCAGCAAAAAATTCTAGATCTTGGTGGGTTCCATCGATAATCCAATAAGGCACAAAAATGCAGGCAGATCTGGTTGCTGACGGAAATTTTTGACAGTAATGCCTGATACTTTCACACTCAGATTGTTCGATACCACTGGTGTCGTTGCCGAATTCAAACGCAACTGAAAGGTTTAATACCACGTCGTCGGCATCAGACACTTTCATCTTAGCATAACTCCTTGGGTTGTTATATTGTCCTATGCTTCCGTTTCCGTTGTCGCGGGCTGGAACATGGACAGGAGAACTCCATCCTGGATATCGGCGAGAGTTATCACCATCTGTGCCCACAAATTTCACCCGAAGTTCAACTTGGTCTGACGAAGGCGACCCGGTCCATGGCACTGATTCTCCGCAATCCAACACACCAAGGTCTTCCCAGCCAGTCGATCCCAAGGTGTGTCCTCTACCACTGGAATTCATATTGTTATTCATCAAAGCATTCGAAATGGTTTTGACTCTAACTTGCACTGCGATGGGCAAAGCAAGAAAGTTTCGAATCACTAGTGGAGATCTGAAGAAGATCATTCGCTGCTCTGGAACTTCAATCGATGAGTCAACCTGCGAAAAACTCGCACTCCCAATCCTTACCGCGCATGCCGTTACGTGGACTTTCTCATCTGATTCGAAGATCTCGTTGCCTTCACTGTGATTATTACCTAGTGAGACCAAAGCCGGTAGAATGACTTCTTCCTCTCCGACCAACCCTCTTCCAAACGACTTGGGAGAAAACGGAGGTGGAGTAGATATCTCTACTGCATTATATTGAATTGCTGTGAGGTCAGCTTCGTGCAGAAATGACGCTGAACGAGAGATAGCAGTTACAGAGAAGCGGTATGATCCATCGTGTATGAAAGGAACGATGTCGGCCGGAATTGACACTACACCATCCTGTTTCCAATTACTGTCAGTGCACTCCTCCTTCGGAACCAAACAACGCCACAACAGAGAAATGCCACTTTCGTCTCTAACTTCGCAGAGAAGGTCGGCGTCTGCTGCATTCTTCAAAACAAATGGGGATTCTATTGACACTACCTTAACACTGCCTCTTAGAGCCACACGGACAATAATCCAACCGAGTGCCCTGGAATTTGAACCATCGTCATTAGTGTCTCCTCTAGAGTTCACATTCCTATCTAGAGGATACCGATGAACACCGACGGCGTCAACTGGAATTTTAGCTGATGCTTTGAAAGAAAAATTGGCCGATCTCTCCCCTTTAGGGATTGCAAAATCACCATTACTTATTCTACCGACAGTATCTTCAAAGCTTCCAAGTTCAAGATAGATGAATGCTCGATGCGGATCGCATGTTTGGGAAAGTGACCTCTTAAGCGTGAGTGGTGTCTCTGAACCATCAGCTAGTATAATTTTAGCGGACTTTTCCTTGCGTTTTGTCCTATCAGTCCCCAATACTTCTCTGAATCGCAACGTCTTTATTAAGGGACAGGATCAATTAGGTTAGTAGGGAGCTGAAAAATGAAAATTGAAGGTGAAAGGCGCTACGTGATTACATACCATTCCAGAAGCATTCCGAATTACATGCGGGACAATGGCTTTTGAACCGGTCTTTTTGGTATTGTCAAGATAACCCATGACGTTTTCAATGAGGGCACCGGTTAAGTTCACGTTGAGGGGCATCTTATCGGACAAGATGACAGATATGGAAAATGGACCATGATCATCTCGAGTGCTAGATGTCTTTGTCGGCTTTCCAAACCCCTGGAGCCATTCTATAGGAGATGTGGAGGGCATAGTGTTGAAGATTTTTGACTCAACATCTGATTGGGATCCCGAGGAGTTGTAGAGTGCCGAAGATAGAATACTTCGTGCTGAGCTTGATAGCATCAAATAACACAAGTCAGAATGAGATATATCCGGAGATCCTTTCCTTGAAGACGTTGAAGATTGAAGACTTTGAAATGGAGAACGAATAAGACGTCCTATCTCTCGTAAGCGATCCTTCCCTGTCCCAGGGGTTTCAACCCCTGATACTTCTGTCAAAGAAGACTCTGTCGCCGTCCTAGTAATGGTAGCTTCTTGTTTTATCGTTGGTTCCCAACGGCAAGCCTCTACCAAGTCGATTCCAAAGGAGATATCTGCAATCCATGGCTCGATGAAAGGTTCCCAAGCGACTAATCGCCGGTTGTGATAGTGACCTGTGATTTGAAATGCAATCCACCCACCCACGTTCGCGTTCATCATTTCTGAACCCGCAATGTACTGCCGTTGAGAATTGTCTTCTTCACTAGTCCCCTTCCCTGGCACCATGCCTAAATTTAGATTCACCGGAACAGCTGCAATACCAGACAAAATATTTGACAGCTCAAATTTTATGATGGGAGATTCGTTCAGACGAGATGCACCCCCAGGTACACATGTTACCAGGAATCCTTCAATCTGCACCCGGCAAATCGAAGGTGACGATTTCAAAATATCACTCAGTTTGGGTGTCTTGAGAAATCTTGAGCTGATATCCGTAGGCACCGAAATGCCGTTATCCTGTGAAATCCGTTTGGTATCTTTTCGCTTAGCCATGTCCAAAATTGGCTTCACCGAAACGGAAAAGGAATCACTGAATCCTCCCAACCTTTTCGAACCCATGTAGACCAGAACGTCTACAAAGTTAGCTTCCAAGAGTAGAAGCTGAGCCAGTTTTACTTCGTATTCCGAAAATTCATCGTCAGCTCTATTTGCTATCGATGCACCAGTTGCTTTGTATACAAGCACTAAGTCAATCGGATTCGTTATACGTTGCTCCCCAGCGATTGGCTGGCTTATTTTAAAGCATATCCTCGGCATCACTGTGAAGCCTTTTTGCGATGGATTGAAAAGTTCCATCAACGTTATGTTGGTTCGAAGAACTTGGAATGCAGAAAGCTTGTAGTTTACTTTTGTACTAAAAGCATTGGCGAGTTTGTAACCGACATTTTCGACAGGCAGTCCAGAACTGTTTCCCAAATAGTTATTCGAGAAATCCTTGAACAGATCTACGTCCTCTTCATCGGTAAAAATTCCGTCGAAATTGAGAGTAAGCCACGGCACTGAGGAGTCTTTCAGACAGTCAAGAGCCATTGCCAAGCTTAATGATGCTTTCCATCTGAATGTAACAACCCCGAATGGGTCTTTGTCGCCATTTTTTACATATTCAATTATATCTCTCGATGCCAAAATGCATTCAAATGTTTCGGCATCAGCAGACAGAATCAGGTTAATATCATTTGGATGGTGAAGAAAGCGAATATAAGGGTTTACTTTTCTTCCTCGTGTTTCACCTGATGCCCGGTTTGTCCCATTCAAAGATTTCAACCCTTCTTTCAAATCCAAAATTGAACGAAAGAATGATGGTAAAACAAGGCATTGGATTTTACCCCAGTTTATGTGTAACCTTATCGTCTGGACCCCTTCTAAATGCATGTATAGCTTGATGCGGACAAAATAAGGAAAACCGAGACGGGCTTCGGGATCTTCGCCGATAACCCGAATCCCCTTTCCTGACGAAAGATCAAACAAAGCCGAATCTCGAATCAAAATGGACGCAGAAACCTCTTCACCTTGACTGTAGTCAACAGTAACGTCTGTCATTGTAAATGAAATAAGACGCGATGCGTAAGCAATCGGCTTTGATTCATTTGCACGAAGTAGCTGAATCTCTGCGTCCTCGAAAGAGACTTGCAGACCAAATTTATTTCTACCCATCATATTTTTTGCCGAGGGTAGGAGGCTCATGGTTGGGTTCGGTTCCAGTTTCTTTTCTTGCTTTCTAGAAGGATTCGTTTTGAAAGACTGCAATATACCATTGATGAAAGCAATGATGCATACGGATATGTTGATCTTGAGAGGAGAGAATTTGAGAACTAATGTGGATTTTTCGTCGTTACATTCTCGAGAAGGAATCGATCCCCACCCGTACCTTGTCATTATTACATCTATCTCGTTCAAAGGGGACCCAGCCATGACCAATAAAGGCAGGATATCAACTCTTGATTCTTCGCTCAAGCGAGATACGAAGTTGCTCATCAGCGTAAGCTCAAATATCATTGTGAAAGGCTCTAAAATTGGCCAGTCGTCCATAGATCTGATCATCGATATATCTGTGACCCCCATTCGTATCGAAATGCGACCACTCTCTATATTGGACTCCTGAACACTGAGAACAGTGGTGAATGCGACCACCATTTTCGTACCGATATCATCTGAAATGTTCCATTCACTTTTGTTTTCGTCCGGAAACCTAATGTTTATTCGCCGTAAAACCAAGTCAAAGCGCCATCTCAATCGAGCTTGTCTAGCTATCCGTTCAATAAATGACACTTTTTTCTGATTCTTGGATAAATCCCTAGGCTTCTGAAAAACTTGGCGGATCTCGCATAAACTCTTTGATAGCTTCGTAAAAGCATCGGGAGAAGCGAGTATAGATAGAGGGCTTATTTTGATACCTAAATGTGTATTCCGGACGTCGCAAGTGCCGCGCTTGTTATCACTGTCTGGTGTATGAACTCCGACCACCCATCCGCTTCTTTCGTCCGAGGGAACGAGCTGGCTTCTAAGTCTTAATTGGAACAGGAAGTTATATGGATCTCTTCTTCCCAAAATTTCTGAGCCGCGACATGTTTCAATATTTTCAAAACTTAGAATATCCAGAAGCTGTGCATTAGCACATCGAAAGTCACCTTGAAATTTGTTTCGTATTTGTGATGCCAAGAGTAGAAGCCGAAGTGACGATTCTGATGCAACCACGGCGCCAGTGACTTTATCTTCATGGGTAAGTACGATTCTGACTGAAGTTAGTCGAAGAGCTAGATCAAAGTAATGGTGAGATCTTTGCAGTTGTTCTGTTTGTTTATCTTCTGGCTCTGGCGTATCTCTTGTTTGAATGCAAGATTCAGACGAGGTCATCGCTGCCTTGACGCGAACGAGAGACTGTAACATGAGTGTGATCGATTTGTGAGATGGTGACATCTCGACATCCCCAACGACTAGCCTTATTTTGCATGACTTCGCGAGCCGCCGAGAAGATTCAGATGATCGATGTTTCCGTATAGCCATAACGCCCCGGATGAATCGGTCTTCCATCGAGTGAGCGACAAGATGCGGCAGACGAACAGGCAAAGGTGTATCACTGCTTCCACCTGAAAAGATCAGGGATGGCTTTACTGCATGTACATCAACTACATTCGTGACGCTCATTGCCACCTGATCCAAACTGAAATATATTTTTGTATCATTCGCGTAATGAAAAAGTGCAAGTGCAACCTGACTCGCAAAAAATTCAAAATCAGAAATTTTTCCATCATGTTTGACGTCACTAGAGTGGTCACCAGTGCGCAAAGTGATTTGTAGCTCGCTCAAAAGGATCGAGCCTTTGAATAGTTCACGATTTAAGTGTCGCACAAGCCGGTGGCTTTCATCTGAATCGTTACGTTGCTTTGCATGTATCAATGCTTTAGCTGTTCTCGCTTGTTGTATCGTTACCACAGCAAATTCTTCCTTATCGAGTTCAGGTGCAAGATTATTGCCTTTATCTGATAAGAGAATTTGCAGGTCTTGACAAACAGCATTCAGTGCTTTCAGCTCCGCTTTTGATCGATGGATATCGCGCTTTGTCTTTTTATGTATATTTCGGCGCTCTGGAAGTTCCGGATCATTGATATCTACAAGGGTGTCAGCATTTTCTTCCATTATCGCCGAAAGGTGCTCAATTTTTGCTTCCAATTCCTTTGCACTCTCCTCCAGATCTGTCAGAAGCTGTGCCTGGCCTCCAGCTGACATCACAGAATGAAATGAATCATCGTCCATTTCCTTGCCACTCTCTGCGACTGAGTCGTCCTCTCCGACCTCTTCTAATCTTGCCAAGTTCTCTGCACTTAAATAACCATTTTCCAATTGACTCCTGCGATTTTTCGAATGATCAGACACGGACGATACATCAGATAGAGATGGTTGCCTACGATGAAAGCGACGGTCGTTTGAGGATCCTCTACTCCCTGCATCAATAACGCTCTCCGCATCTGCTATCCAATGATCTTCGAACCAAACACCAGAGGTATTTTCTCCACCAACAGATTCAGCCCCTTCCTTCGCATCGAAAAATTCGCATTCGTCAATTTCGCTGGCTGTCTCAGAACTGCTACTATCATATTCATGTTTCACCTGATCATCATTTGGAATAAACCTACCAACTTCATCTTTGGATACAAGCGATTTTGTAACCGCACGCCTGTAAGTTTGCGATGCTACATCAGCTTTCATTAATGATTTCCACATCGTATATCCTACTGCGAACCGTGAAACCAAGTCTTCATTGAGAACCAGCTTAATTGATTCAACCACTGTATGTGCCTTCAGTTTACACAACGTGTGATCTGTTGGAATGATAGATTTCTGAATTGTTGTACGTAGTTCAAACCCTGACGAAACGTCGAACACTTCAGATTCTCCACTGAAACTAATCTTCCCGGTCTGAAGACGCAGCTGATATTTATCGTAGAAAAGTTCTTCTATCCTCGACTCGTTCTGACTATTCTTTCTCTCAGAACCTCGATCAATGGCTGGAAAGGCATCATCAAGATTTAAGCTCCCATCAAATGATCGATTTGTTCTTTCACTTGCATGGATACTCTCGAGGGAGACTGCAGAGGAAAACATAAGATTCCGAATCGGCTTTCGAAATACAGATGAGGGTACTCTAGACGACCTTGAACCACCATTAAGTGAACCATCGTCTATACTCATCTGCCGTAGTCCCAGTGGTGCGAAATCATCCTCAGCTGAACCATTTTGGATCAGAGGGCGCTTCTTCAATTTGTTGCGGGAGATACCTGCCAGCCTATCAGTTCTTAAAGACAAGATACCAAGATCGATCAACAAGTCAGCATCATCTCCAATCCCTATTCGGAGAACAGGGCAGTGCATGGCAACATCCACATCCAAGTTTTCGTGGCCAGAAGCAGCAGACTCGGCTTTTGCCATGAGTGCCAATTTACCAAGTGTTAGTGAATTCAAATAAGCCAAAGATAGTTCTCCCCAGAATTTCTCTACGTTCGGAGCAGTCGTTACCTCTCTCATGAAGCCCTTCAAGTGACCTATCCACTGGCAGTCTAAGTTCATATTGATCTCAAGCGGACGAAGCACCATACGAAGTTCTTTATTAACTCCAGGGTTGTTGATTGGATTTTTCGTGAAAGTGAAAAAGAGCAATAGATCTTGTTCATGCATCTTTTGATCGACAGTAGCATCTAAAGATATGATTTCTCTCTTCAACTGACTCGCAACTAAGTGTTGGCTTTTGTCCATTCGAACCTCAGATGCCGTGAAGTCAACAACTGAAAATTCCAAGCCGAAGTTTTTGTAGTCTCCTCTTAATGTCCCTCTCATTCTTGTTCCTTGACTAATAAACTCGAGAAATTTTTCGTGCAATCGCTTCAGTTGTGTTTCTTCTGCAGTTATATAGAGAGGAGAGAAAAGCACGAATCGCACTTCTTCTACGTGAATAGTCACTGATATTGCAATAAGTGAATCGTTGCGCACCTGAGGTCTTGATGTATCGTTGTTTTCTGGCACTTTGTCAAGGTATTTCAAGAGCCTGTCAAACTCTTCTTTTGCCTCAACATCGTCGACTGTAGCATCCTGTACAGTCTCTGTCCACCATGAAGATCTTCTTTTAGCTTTACTGACGTCATATATTATTGGATTTGAATCCTTCCCCATTCGCATATTCACTATTGCTCGATATAATATAATGTCTGTCACGGACAAATCACCGTGAATGCCATCTTCTAACTCTTGTATCTCGGCAGTTTCGATCGCGTCAAGAGTAGAATTGAAATCATCAGCAGTATCAACTGGTGAAGAACTATTCGTTACCTTTGAGGAATACCGTATCCTTCGCTCATAAAGACTCATATATCGTGCTCGGATGGCATATTTTCTTTGGAATCTGCTTAGAGACCACCTTAAAAAATTGTCCTTCAATTCAAACTTGATAATTCGAGCGGCATAAAACCACCACGCCCTGGGGTCATCTACGACAGATTCTTTAGGTCGAAACTTTCGGTACTTCTTGACGAATTGAAAATTTTTGCGCTCTTTATATAGTCTCAGCATTTGTATGCACTGGAAGTCTCTGAGGTTCGTAGATATGCAGTCAAGTTCGATGTCCATTTCGACAGCAGGTCTTGAACTGAGATCTTTTGGATCATTTGAAAGCCAAAAATAAAGCTGACCCCCAAATGGTAAAACCAAGAACGTGTGGGTGGGAATATATGGCCTTCTTGATGGAGACGCTATTGGACTACCTCTCCTCACAATACAGAAGTCAAGAGCCCGAGAAGTCTTGGCCATATCGTTCGCACAAGTTTCATGAAGAACAGAATTCTCAACAGGCAGATCATCACCATAATCTAAGGCATTCCAATATACAGCAAAGTGATTAATTTGTGCCACCTTCGACACAGCACTTTCATCCGGAGCTTGGTCGATGCCAATGCCATCATTGTTGCCATCTTGTACATGCATGCTTTCCATCGTGACACCAAATGCACATGGATTTTGGGGGTCTGATTCAATGTCTTCGATCCGAACATGGAAATCTCGAATATGAATATGAAGTTTGTCCAAAATTTCTCGCAGTATTCCACTCGTTATCCTTTTCTTCAGTATTTCTGTGTAAGTCTTACTCTCTTCGAATGAAAAATCTTCATCTGCGTCTGGTGACGATTTGGCAAAGATTTCCGATCTGGATAATGCCTCTCGACGCTTTTTTATTTCTTCCGCTCTCAAATCGTCATCAAAAAACGAGAATGACGTTCGAAAGAGAGCGTGGACGCCATCGAGAACCAAGACTGCGACTGCCTCTTTGCTCGAATTGGAACGTGATAATCCATTGGTGCCGTATTTTGCCCATGGGATAGTGATTTCGATTTGCCTGAGCGAACAATGAACTAGATCAAGAGGATGCCCTTTACGGCGCAACTTTTCATTTATAATATTGGTTTTGACCTCAAGATCCTCCAAGGAAATGTAGCCACTCCAAATCCCCAGATGCGCTGTCTTCGTTGCTTTATTTTTGGCCAAAGATTCCTCCGTGAAATATTTAGAGAGGATTTTGGATAGCACATTTCCAGCAAGGTTCTCGAACATTTTAACGCTGCCTCTCAAGTTGATTGCAATGAGAAGCGCATATCAGCGGGTGCATCCTACTTGACTAGATGCTATGTTTTCTTAACTACTTGTCGTCATTGTCGTCCTAACTAAAGGTACGGCACGGTTGTTACCCTTGTTGCTATTGACAAGTTTTTGATTTTAACCGTAAAACTGTTTTTCGGATGTCAGAACTTTACAGCGATGAAGTTTTAGGGATTTGGGGGGAGAATCAATTTCGCAAAATAGTGTACGTACCGAAAACAATAAACCTTCTTCACGAAATCCGTGATTCAATATGTCCCGTGTGTGAAAAAATGGCCGTCTGTACTTCATACGGCATGAATACGCGGCAAAAGTAGTATTGGGCGGCGCGGATCGCGACACCAGTGATTTTTTTGATCACGAATACAATGAGAAAGCGGATTTTTCAAGCCAAAAAACCTATTGTGAACAGAAACTGGACGTCGTAGACGTACCGCGAGCAGAAGTACAGCCGTACGCGTAGTGCTACCAGGTGGGAGTGCTTTCGAAATATGCATTCTCTCTTCGATTGAAAAAGCACAGTGAGAGGAAGCGACAAATCGGTTCCGCCAAAAGCTTGCCAGAACACACTCTAATCTATCATGGCACCAACTCAAGCACAACAGAAAGCTGCTAGGGCCAAGGTCTTGGCAGGTGGAAAACCCGCGAAAGCTCGAACGCAACGCTATTTGAAATCGATCGAACCCCAGCTACGTGAGGGAGCCAAAAGTACGCTTCTTTTGAAAGGAATAAAATGCAGTCAAGCCATGGGAAATCTTTTGAAAGACATGCGAGCTATGCAGGCACCCAATGCAAAACTGATGTCCAAGAAGAATCAAATCGTAGCCTTCGATGATATCGAAGGGCAACAATCGTTGGAGTTCTTGACAACGAAGAATGATTGTGCTCTTTTTGCGTTGGCCAGTACCAACAAGAAACGACCTAATAATCTTGTTTTAGGAAGAACGTTTGATCATCAAATTTTAGACATGGTTGAATTGGGAATTCTTCGGTACAAGAGCATTCAGAATTACGGTGGATCCGTCCCAAAGAAGCGCATTGGCTCCAAGCCACTAATGCTTTTCCTAGGTGACCTGTGGCAGCAAGATTCTAATTGCAAGAAAATGCAAAACCTCTTGATCGATTTTTACCGGGGTGATGTCGTGCAGAAGTTGGTTGTTTCTGGGATTGATCACTTGCTCGTCTTCGTAGCATCGCAGCCACAACAAGGGGATAATGCCAACCCCAACATTAACAACGATCCAAAATTGATCATATACCAGCACACATTCTTTTGTAAATTAAAAAAGAATCCGGATGATCCAACTTCGAAAGTTCCAATTCCCTTCTTGGTTCCTTGTGGGCCCGATATGACAATGCAAATTCGTCGTACCCAATTTGCTGAACAAGATCTATGGAATTTATCCTTGAAGCAGCCGCAGGGATTGAAGAAGAAAAAGAAGAAGAACAAAACCACCAACCTGTTTGGAGAGGTTGTTGGACGTTTGCATATTGAACATCAAGATGTCACAAAGATGGGAGGTAGAAAGAGCAAAGCTCTTCGAAGAGCGGAACAAACTGCAAAAGAAGAAGAAAATGAAGCACTTGAAGCCGAGCTTGGTAGGGAAAGAGAGGAAATGCAAGATGAGTTCAAACAAACGTATGGCTTCAACAAGGAATAAACAATAAGATTGTGTAATTTAGAAGAAACCAAATGGTCTATGATCAAATTTGAAGTGGAGGCTCAAGAATTTTTTAATTTATTAACCGAGGGTGTACTTTGGCTCGATTCATAAGTGCTTCGTGGGAAATTTGTGCCGTACTATGATGACTATTTTAGGCAGGACACCTTTCGAGTATATACGAGCGAGAGATTACAAGCGAAATGGGAATAAACTTTTGACAAATAAAATGCTTTTAATGTTACGTTGGAGTCTAAGATTTCATTGAGCTGAAGATCAAAAGTGAAAACTACTCATGGTACCTAAAGAAGTAAGAACATGATCAGTCGAGAAAAAATGTAAGGATTTGCTTGATGAAGTTAACGTTCAAACGTGGGAAAGAAAGATGATGCTCAGAGAGTATGGTCGCATTTCAAATTCATCAAGGACATTTAGGGTTGTCCCACTATACAAATCAACGAGCTCAATCGCAAAGCAATCCGGCTCAAGAAGACCTGCTGAAACAACAAGAATATTCATAATCATAGCAATCAATTTGTCGCACAGAAAGTCACAATAATAACCAAAAATAGGGACTCACCATAGACTCATGTTATTTGAAAGATCATTCTGCCATTCATGTAAAAAAGTGGAATCATTTAGCATGGACATTCTAGGGGTGAAACGTGTTCGATGATGTTGGAGGCTGGGATGTCTTCGGTGCGAATGAATTCCGCATCGATAAAACCATCCGGAACTATTTGCATCGCGGTAACAAGAATGAAAGCTGGTCCACAGTGACGTATACTTAAATCCTGCGTCAGATCTTCGCACTTCCGACGAAAGGCTTTGTTCGTACTCAAACCATTAAATATTCCTAGAACGGGTCGTAGGGCACGTCGGATAACATGAGTTGTAATTTTTGCTTTCTTTTTCTTCTTCCGGTTCTTCGGTTCAGAATCACCATCAATATCGCTTCCCATCTTGTCGAGCATGCGATTAGCAATTGGTAGTTGACCGTTGGGTTCATGGGTTGATTTCTTGGATTTTTTTGCTCTTCCCTTCCGCCAGTCGGAGCAAATGCTACAAAAATCCTTCGTGTGAACTACGTTCGGCGATGGAATACGGTTTGTTATTTCATCGACGTCATCGCAGCATCGCCGAGGGTAGACTTCTTCGAGATATTCAATATATTGATTAAGAACGTCTCTTCTTGTTCGACAGGGATTTTCACATTCTCCGTAAAAGTAGCGGTCACAATCCCAAAAAAGTGACGGATGGTCCATGGCGGCTCTTCCGAGCATGCAGCCGCGCAAGTTGGTAGGAACCTTGGCTTTCGTTGGTGGTGCAATACAAGAGCCATTCGGATAATTGCAGACTTCACAAGGAACCGAATGAATGACAGGAGTATCATTGCTATGAACTTTCTCCTGCTCATCATCCCCATAGACGATCGCCTTTGCAGCTTTCAGGCCAGAAATTCCACCGTTGATCCAAAAGTCACACTGTGGGAATTCTTCACACAGCCGATAAACGATTGGGTAATTTAAAGGAGGAATGATGCGATTTTCGGCAGGGTTCAATCCCTTAAGTAGAACTTTTCGCGCATGCACGTAGAACTTATCGCACCCGGCCTCATGGAGGCGTCGAACAATCTCGCAAATAAAGCCAAAATCTTCGTCGTCGTCGACTCCAATTCTGAGTTTGACGGACACTGGGATACTCCTGCAAGTATTCTTCATGGCTTTTACTAACTCGCAAGCTCTCTCGATTTCTTTCATTAATACGGCCCCGAATCCCTTTCCGCTCACCCGGTTCTTGGATAATCAAAACAAATGAGAGCAAATCAAAATTGTGCACTCAGGTTAGCTTTGAAATTGAGCAAACAAGTATCGAATTCCTTCCTTGTGTGATGAATAACTGTGTTGGCACTTACCGATGGACAACCCATGTTCAAGTTGACTTCGTCGTAGCCGTATTCCTCTGCAACGATCCGACTAGTAAAAGCAGTGTGCACCGGATTGATTCCTCCGATCTGACAGACGATTGGATGTTCCACGGATCGATCATAGTCCAAGTGCACGTCGACCTTTTCTTTGTTGATGGGAGTAGTCGTTCCCGCTGTTGCAACACTGGAAGAACATGGCTTCTTCGATCTCGAGCAATAATAAATTGTCTCGTCGACAACCATTTCGGTCCACAAAACGCATCGCTTCGACAAGATTCGCAAAAGTTGGCGAAATTCACGATTCGAAACACGAATCATAGGAGCAATGTGGAGCGATTTCTCTTGGCGTGTGCATGGCTGTAGCGGCAGTGAGAATTGACTCGGAGGGGGATCCTCGGCATCGGGGACTAGGCCGATGCCATTGCTACCGCCATCGAGATCACGTTGTTTTTGTCTCTTAGAGAGAGGTGATCCATTTCCTCTTTGCATTGGCCATTCATCCAGGATGCATCGGAGTTATTCAATCCATGAATGGTTTCAATTTCACAAGTAACCGTAGATTACCAGTGCCGTGTGAAACTAAGGCATGGATATCATTTCTTATTTGGATTGTGAGGCCTGTAGTTGCCCAATTCGAAAATTGAAAATTGAAATTTGACACCGCTTGGCCCTCGTGAAATGTGATGGCTTCGTCTTTAAGTGGTCTACAGTACATCGCACCGTAAGTACGTACGGTACGTACGGAACTCTCCTACATACAGCGTCCTTCTTGAAAACCATTGGTTTGCAAGGTCTGAAAGTGCACCAAAAATATTTTTAAGATGTGGTAGCTATCCCCCAAATTGAAACACCATGAACCGTAGTCTGTACGACTAGCAGTAACAAGTCCCGTACTGGCAAGTTATTGGCAATTCCCCGGCTATCAATTTTTTTCATTTTCCCGTCTTTATTTCCCCCCTCTTCTCCACAAAAAACGTCCCAAAATATTTCTACTATTAGTCCTTACTGCTGGGGATACCGTATAATATCAGTGGTTACTAAGTGACAATTTCCATTAGTGCTTACTTCGTACTACCGGACTCTATTACCACTTACTAGTGGAGATGTTATAGTAGTGAGGATTGCGAACTGCTGGGTAAGACGGCTGTTCTGTTTGTGCTGCGAGAGAAGTACTAAGTACGTACTAAGCGTGCGGTATTAATACACGAGTTGAAAATGATTTTTTGTATTTTTTATTTTTCCTCCTTTCAAATCATATTTTAAGATGGATTTTGGTAAATTTACAACTCTGTTAGGGCTGAAATTTTGCCAATACTTGCGTGTCGTATTGTTGTATCTTGGTTCACGGGCACTTTCGGTTGACAATTGAACATCCCCATTCGTCGTATTCGGCTTTGCTTATCCACATTTCGTGGAAGGTTCCTAGGCTTCCAAGGATGCTCCCACCCAGCCAGCTGGCTATGGCGCGTTCTTGCATTCCCGGGGACAACATTTTGACCCTCCAGCCGGGTGTGTGCGCGTGAATGATGGTCTCAATCTGCTCCTTCAGCGAATCCGGAACGGACTGGTCCGTTGGTCCGATGCAGGCACCACCCCCAGCAAGGATTACATTTCCCAAGACACCGGCCTGCTGTTCGCGATCGCAACGATAGGCAGCGTCTACCACCATGTTGGCCACGGGCGATGCCGTGAGCTGTTCAAACGTAGCTTCGAGATAGGGAGCGCAGGCTCTTTGAAGGATTCGGTTGTCAAAGCGAACCTTGGTTTGGTTTTGTGCTTGTTGTTTGTCCGCCTCGTCTGTCGTTGCCTTTCTTCCTCGTTTCGTTCCCCTACGGGAGTTCGAAAGTCCAACTGCAGTAGCTTCGGTATATTTCGCAGCCTGTCGCTTTTGATCGTTACCGTCGTCGTAGCTAGTGCCTTTTCGATTGCCGTTGTTGTTCTCGTTTGCGTCGTCGTCGTCGTCTGCCGATGCAATCTCCAGAAGCTCCTCGAAGTCTCTTCGTATACGTTCCAGGTGTTCGTCGCGGAGATTTGTCAGGTCTTCTTTCTCGTCTAAGGCCGCCTTGCTTCCCACGGCCAGTTCCGATACCGAGAAGCGTGCCGTCGACGGAACGTCCACCACCGAGCCATCCGGCAGGCAGTAGCTCATCGAAGGAACCTGCAGTGCCGCACTTGCCAGCGTATTGATGGCCTGACCGGCCCCCGATTCACGACAGTCTTTGGCAATCTGCAGGAGAGAGAGACGTTTGAACGAGTCCTTCCGCTCTGCCTCTGGATGACGCACCTGCCAAAAGGGCGTGAGGGGTCTGTGGTCCTTCTTTCGGATTTTTTTTCGAATCTGTAGTTCTTTCATGAGCTTGTGCAGCTGCTTCAAACAAAGTTCGTCCATCGCCTCTGTACCAATAGGTGTGCGTCGAACACCCCTCTGCTCGACGTACCCCTCGTAAACCGGCGAGACTGTAGTTCCCGAATAGCCAATATCGATCACTGTTGAGGTTGTTCGGCCGCACGCGTAACAGGCCATCGTAGCATCGCGTCCAAAAAATGTTGCCGGAACCCTGCATTCCTCCATGAGTATTTCTAAGAGTTGCTGGCGAATAGCGGGTGGATTGTAGGATCTCTCAATCATGAGCAAGGGATTTTGGCTGGTAATGTCGCTGTCGGAACCACTGGAGGATTCAATGCCCAGGGCAGTGGAGTAACCATGCCGCAAAAATGTAGGTATCAGATCGGACCAATCAGCATTGTCGTTTTGGAAACCCCTGCCTCCATCCTTCGGGTCATTGGCATTGTAGCTACTGCTTCCACTAGCATCGGTACTCCCGGAAGTACCAGGTTCGTACCACAGGCCGGTAGTGAGATTGACCGGATTGGCAACTTCCCAATCGCCATCGGTATCGCTAGCCGGATCCGCGGGCCGGTTCAGTGCATCGTAATTCACTTTTTGGATGGGCCTTCGACGGGCTGATGATCGTTCGTCCGAAGATTCTTCCCGCAAAACACCCACATTCTGAGAATCAGATATCCATTCGAAGAATTACGATATGAAACGAGCATGACGATACAGTATTTAACGGAAAAAATGTATAATCGTACATTACGGCGACGAACGACAACAGATAATACAAAAGTCGAATCGTTAGTATCTTGATTGCAGGCGCAGAACTTCTGATTGATTCGAATAAAATGGAGATTTTTCTTGTTTCCGTTCCCTCCCTCCCATTGTCATTCCTTACCGATCGAAAATAGGATCTGGGGTGGTCTTCTCCGGCGTAACCAATTTTACTGGCGTATGAACCCAAATCAGCTACGATAGCATTGACACTATCGCCACTTGTATAGAACGCCATGACGCATAAACTAGGACTGCCAAACGGAATAAATGGATGATTCCTAACTACTTGTTCGCCTTCAGGGAGATGTGAAAAGCTGCGGTTGGTGTTGTCGATGCTCCCGATTTCGCTCTATGAGTACGTACGGTACCGTACCGTACGTACTCCTACCCTTTTCTCACAGCCAGGTGTCATGCCCTTTGAGGGCTGCGCGACGCGCCGAAAACTAGTGATGATATTTTTGTACTCTAGTCGATTATCTCTTGTTGCCCCCCTTCTCGCCCCCCCCCCAACCCCAGCGATCTTTCGGAACATCAGTCGTGTATGTGCATTTGTCCAAAACATTCCGTTCGGCATGCCATCGGTTTCCTCATGTCTAGCGCCGAATGATTTTTTGAATCAATTTTCGTCGCGCTTCCAACAACTCTACTGTTGGGGCACTATGTACCGTAAGTTTCGAACCGGCCGGTGCGGTACAGAAGATCCAGACAAAGCGTGAACCAAGTCTCCGCGCTTTGCTAAAAAAAATTCATGGGCACGAGTACCGATACGTACGGTACCAAAGCGACGGTACCGATAATCGTACTCGACAATTGCAGAAAGAAAAAAATAAAAGTGAATTTCGTCCTGTACTTCTTTACAGTATATCATCAGCTGTTAGAACAACTCCTATCATTTCACGAGCCCGTCACCAGTCTGTGTTTGTCTCTTTTCCAACGTGCTCTAACCTATACAGGAAGCACTAATCATTAAATCCTCTCTCGATAATCAAAAGACTTAGTATCATCATGGACTCTACCGAATACTCGAATGCCGGTGGCGAGAAAATTCAGCCCCTGATGGTCAGCGTCACCGCCCCGTCCACTCTTCCCGAGGGTTACACCTTTGAAGCGTATCTGAACGACGACAAGAAACGCCCGTTCACTTGCGAAGTGGTATGTACCTGCAATGGATTGGGATGGTGGTGATAGCTTTTCTCTGACCCCGAAAACAGGAATGACGCGAAGATCCCATTCCTCACCACATCATCCAACTGATTGCAATCTTCGTTTCTTTCGTTTTTTTTCTATAGCCGGAGGGGGGAGTCAAGGAAGGCCAGACCTTTTACACGCCCCTCCCGCCCTCGGCCGGAGACGAGCGTATCCAGGCACCGACGGGAAGGTGGAAGGACGGCCTCTGCGATTGCTTTTCCAACGGAATCTGCCACGCATCCCTCTGCTGCGCCCTCTGGTGCGACAAGCTTGCCATGGGACAGATCATGACGCGGATGTCGTTGACGTGGCTCGGCGAGCCCGGGCAGAGGATATCGACCCAGGACACTTTCAAGGTGGTGGTCCTTCTCGTTGCCGCTTACACGATGTTCTCGACGGCCCTCGAGATTGCCTCGCTCGATTACACACCGGAGACGACCCCCGCCTCCATTGTGGCCATGAAGGGGGTCGGTAGCACCTTGTTTGGAATTTGGTCCATCTACAGTCTCTGCCGAACCCGCCAAAGTGTCAGGAAACAGTATTCCATTCCCGAAAAGCACTGCCAGGGCTGCGAAGATCTCTGTTGCGCGGTCTTTTGCACCTGCTGCACAATCAGCCAGATGGCAAGGCACACGGGCGAGTACGAAACCTATCCCGGCCGCTGTTTTTCCAGCAGTGGACACCCTAAGGGCACCCCCCTAACAGTCTAGAGACCTTCCTTTAGGAAGACGAGAGAAATCACGGACGCTTTTGAATCGTATTAGAGCAGGGATTCGGACGGAAAGTATGAAGTGGGGCAATTTCTTATAACATGGAACCTAGGTTTGGTTCGATGCTGATTTCGGTACCCTTTTCCAATTGCCTTCCAGCGCGAAACAGTAATTCATTTATAAATTGTAACGTAGAAATATTAAATGTGATTCTGACAAACTGTCTTCTACACGCACAGAACTGGACTTTTGAAAATCATCATAACCTCTTCGGTTGCTGCGATGCACATCTAAACGCCCCACAAAACGAATGACCCCTCGAAACAGTGTCAATGTATTGCATTCATCCTAGGCAGTGCACCTGACCGTTTACCACGACAGTTTTTCAGGCGATCGTTTCTTCGACACCGAATAGTCGCATCATCTTTTCCACTGGATCCTTGCACTGTTCCGGATGATTCCTTGCCACATCCTGGAGCAGCCGAACGCCGACAGCAGCCTGCATTGCCGTGTGGTTTTCTTCGATCGCTAAACTCAAGAGCAGGCTACAGGCTCGTTCTTGAACCCTTTGCTCGCTTTTGTGCAGGACCATGGCCATGTTGATCGCGTCCAGGGCGCCACTGTCAACGATATCCATCTTTGTCTGAGCGGTGTTGGTCGCCACACCCTCCTCAAAAAGCTCGGAGAGACCTCCAAGAATTGCGCACCCGGTCTCTTGGACGATCGGGATGCTTTCGTGGCTCTCCATTGTGGTGATTACAGCGGCAATGGCCAGGGAAAGTTTTTGAGCATTCTTTTCATCTGGAGCATTGCAAAGGGCATCAACCACTGTGTCAACCGCTACAGTTGCTCGGACGGTGTCTGAATCGTTACTTTCGCAGACGAAGTCCACGGCAAGAACCATCATAGCACGAGTGCACCATTCAATCATGCCTGAGTCTCCACTATCTATTGAGTTCTTTGAGTGATCTAAGATCGCCCGAAGTATCAACACGATTCCTCCGTTATCTTCTATCACTGTCTTACCTTCGTAGTTATTTCCAGCAAGAATGGAAATGGCCCCTGCCCCAGCTTTCTGGACACTCCTCACACGTCGATGCTTCTGCATAGCGCTCAAGATTGGGTCGACTACACCCAAGTCCAAGAATTTCATCTGATTTTCATTGCAGTTGGTACAGAGATTCCGCACCGCCAAAAGGGCAGATTCTTGGACGGTAGAGTCGTCTGCGTGCATGGCCATCGAATTAAAGAGGATAGCTTCGCCGGCTCCCTTTTCCATAATTTTGAGTCGAAGGGATGGATCGTCGTGTGATGCGAGGTTCATCAATGCTTCGCATCCCTTCTGCTGAACTCCTGTCATTGCCGAGTGGTACCCCATTCCCGTAATAATGGCCTCGACTGCATCGTCACCTTTGCCTATCAGATACTTCGTGTTTTGGGCATCGATAGCAAGGTTTGAGATGGCAGTGATCGCCCATTCTTGTAGGTCTTCTCCGGTTTCTAGGAATTTGTTCATGGCTTGTGTGATGGCATTTGCGGCTCCCGCCCGAGTCAAGTTGTGTCGGGCTCTAGGGGAGGATGAGCTCAGGTTCCAAACGGTACGACATCCCCACAGCTGGACGTCTCGAACATCACCGTGTGATTCCATCGAAGTCACGATGATTTCCATCCCATAGAGATCCAATTCTTCGATACCGTTTTCGTCATCGCTAGTCTCAGAGAGTATTTCCATCGCCTTTTGAGTTTGTTGGGGCGAGTCGGAACATTCTCGCAAGAAGTTCAATTGCTCCTTGAAAGGATTGCAAAGACCGTCGCCAGTTTTACTGCTCATGCTAGCACTATCTCGATGATCGAGGCATTCATCCTCTTCTTCAAATGCGATGCCATTTTCATTGGTAGGATGTCCATGCGTTGGTGCAGAGATAGAAACTGATCCATTGCTAGTGTCGCCGAGGGAAGACTGCATATCGAATTCTGATTCTTCCTCGTCGATGACCTCGATGGTCGACAGGGACCCAAGTGTTCTAGAACTTCGAATACGAGAAAAACTTTCCATTCGGCCAAGCTGGTGCTGGGGGCTTTGAGGTAGTGGTTGTGAGCTCTTAGGAACCAATAGGTGGTCCTCTTCTCCAATAGAAGACATTGAGCTTAGGGTGCGACTGCTACTGGTATATACGTTAGTCCCGATACCCGGTCGACTATTTCCATGACCGCATCGTGGTTGAAATGCTCCTCCTCGGTTTAGGATTCGCTGACGGTCTGAGGGAAAGACTTCATTCTCGTCATTTTCTTGGCTGGTAGAAGCCGAAATAGTCTCGGGAACATCCGTATCCGATCCCAATATGACTATTTCTCGGTCTTCGTCTTCGTCTCTAGGTGTCGTGGGCTCCTTCCGGTCGCCCTCGTCGTCGTCTTCGTCTTCGATTTGGTTGCCGGGGCTGCGACTAGAGTTGGCGACCCCATCAAAAATATCGTACAATTCATCCGCCCCCGCAACACCGTGCTGCTGCGCTGCCATCAAGGTAAGAGCAGCCCGTTCGAGGTCCTCTCGAGTGGGTGGCGAGGTCCGATTGCTTGCCGACGAGCAGATTGATTTAAGAGAACTCAAACGAGTGGGAGGACGACGAACGGCATTGTTCTCGGATTCGTTCGTTTCGGTGGTGTTATCGTTGGTAGTCTTGGCAACACCTTCTTCATCTAGCGGGGCCGGAGGTGTCCAAGTGATTTCCTTGGGCTGAGAAGTCCTCTTTTTGCTTGCGCTTGTAGCGAGACTTCTACTGCTGCCATTGCTGTTGCAGGGCGTGAGAGGAGGACGCTTGGTCCCGGCAGCAACATTCGAGGATGACGAGCTTCCGAGGGATCGGGTCGAGCTGTTGCTGGTGGCTACATTTAAGGAGGCAGATGCAATACTCGGACGAGTGGTCAGAGCGGTATTTGCAGTTGTGTTGCTGTGGGTGCTGCCGTGCTGGTTGTTGGTATTGTTGGTATTGACAACAGTGTTGGCAGCGACATTGCCGTTGCTGCCAGTATTCTCGCGGTTGACGTGCGCCAACGGAGTGGAATTGGTACGTGCCGGCTGATATTGGTTACGTGTTCCTCCGAGCACTGCTTCTGTGACTTCCTTGTTGCTCTGGCATTTCCGGAGATGATCTTGTAGATGGTGGCGAAGATGGTGATTCGACGGTTGGGAATGCTTAAGGAGAAAATTGCGTGAGTTGCTTTTCTTGTGCATCCTCGCGCTCACAAGGCCCCTGTTGTGGCTGTCATTGCGTCCGAGGCTGCGACCTACACCGTTGGGGTTGGGGGACGGCGATTGTAGATCGGGATATGAACTAGCGTTGGCTTTCAATTTCAACGAGGAGACCGAGATATCTTTCGGTTGTAAGGGTTTGCAGTTGAGGCAACGGCCGTTCAGAACCTTTCCTTGTACATCCAGTGGAACTATCTTGAACAGTTTTTTTCGGAAGCACTTTCTTCCGCAGGTAACGCATTCTCCTCGTTTTGTTCGGGCGGCTCTGAGCTCCTCCTTTGCTATGACCGATCCGGAACTGTTGAAATCTGATCCCAGATAGTTCATTCGACTTTCTTTCTTCTTGAAAATGCTTGCTTGGTATAGAGTATCTGCAATGCTTAGTCTCGAAGCGAGGGAATTTCGAACTGAAGCAGCTGGTGTCTTTGCTTCGCAATAGTTACAAAATTCAACACCAACGAGTACTACGAGGGGTAAAAATATTGTTGAGAGGCTGTTGACTATGCGCAATGCAAGCAGTATATGTTTGGTTTTTGGTTTTTCTGCGATGCACTACATGTGCGTGGTTTTATGAGTGAAAATAACTGGCGTTTTCGATTTAGTAAATAGAGAGTCACAATGTTCGCAGCGGTACAGTCAAAATGTAGCTATGTGTTCGGCTGGAAATTTTGAACGATGCCTGTGTTTGCTCCGAGGCTTTCCGGTAACGGCTGGATTGGCCTTTCTGCATGCAAGAAAGAAGTGATCCGATTTTCCGAGAGCCGACATCCGTTTTGGTATCGTGGGAGACGCGAAGAACGTTGTGGACTTCGTAAAAGTACGAGTACAAGTACCAGTAGAGCACTACGAGTATCGTACCCGTACCCGCGACCTGATAGGATCCGATTGATATTATTTCGTGATACCGCTTCTTGAAGCAAGTTTGCCGAATTGGAAATATGCCCCGGAATGGAGGTCACACTTTCTCCAAACTCCGCACGTCTGGATGTCATCCGCAATGAAATGATTCAATTGAATCAAATAAGAAGGGGGATATATCGGTGGTGGTGCGTACCGCCCAGTAGGAAACTCTCTAAGTCGTGCTCACAGGTAGTCAGGTACGAGTCTCGTACGGTATGTAACGGTACAGTAGAGGACAGCTTTGTACGATAGTGCTGATACTACTAGTACGTACGAATACTACTCGTAAACTAGTCCCATGCTGAGACTGATGAGTCCATGGACCATGGAGTTGTCCGTTGCAAGTGTACAAGAATAGTAGAGTACAACCCTACGTAGTTTGCTGTGGTGGATGATGAAGTACTCAAAGTCACAGAACGTCAGAATCCCATGAGGTCCAAATCAGATTGCTCGAGTTTCACATGAGAACTGCAAATGGGAAAACAGAAAGACTTAATGATTTGATCAATAAAGTTCTATAATGTTACTAGATTGCATTGCAATGCACTAGAATGCATCGTTTCGTATGATCTTCATTTTTCAATAAATCGTAAACTTGTAGTTGTAGCTGTAGCCGGTTTGGGAGAAATTTTCCTCCCACCCACATATAATGCGTCCGTGTGCAAGCCTGGCTGGGACATGCGATGGCGCTTCGTAATAATTTACACTTGATATCTCTCTCTTCGCACTTTCCATTTCCCTTAGAAGTGCGCGCCCTTGCATTAAATTTGCGAACAGTAGTATTGACAACACAGAATAGAACATGACCCCTCCCAGTATGTATCTAAAGCGGGCGGAAGTCAAGCTCTCTTCGCGTTCGTGGTACAAACGCAGGAACAATTCTTTCGTCATATACCAGATTTTCATCTCGCAAGTAGCTTTGCGCGTATTGATCCGCCTGGACTTTCGTTATGTGCATGTCAAGGCTTTTCGCAGATTCGCAGACAAATTCCATGTGATTTGTCAGCAAATGGAGCTGACCGATAATTTGGAGAAGCGAAGGAGAGCTCATAAATTTGATGCTCTTTGGCAAAGCGTCAAGTTGTCCTGAAACTATGCTTACGGCCATTCTTTCTTCATTCGAGTCTCCGAACGAAATGATCTGCCGGGGTAGCTGTTCCGACGAATCTACAACAAGATCGGAAGAAGACATGGAAGAGTTGTTTACTTCGTCATCCATCATGTCGGACAAGGATGACGTTGAGGAAACCTCAGTCCCTTCCATACTAGCGCAGGACGTCGCATCGTCCGTATTTTTCAACGAATCGTAAATTTCGTTGACCTCGTGAGCGAATGCTGCAGCCTTCCAACAAAGGGGTTGGCACGGATAAAACTTTTCGTAGCGCGTTCGCGCTGAGATAATGGGATACTTCGCAAGCACGGGTAGCAGGGCAGGGCAGTATCGCTCCGCGGAGAAGTTGACCCAACCCTCATCGGAATTGGTAATGATTATCACCTGACAATGTTGGAATTTGCAATCGTGGGGAGGAAGAAAGATGAGACCAAATTTTGTGAGACGTGCTGTGTTCGTTGGGGACGGACAGACACATAGAAAGTTGCGCGAGGCTCGTGCATTTTTCTCGTCGTGGCGCCAAAATCAGTCGTTGTGAAATATTGTGGCGGTTAATGTTTAACCGTATCTTTTGATTCCCACTTAACTCTGGCGACACACGAGTTGCATGCCAACAGAAAACAGAAAAATCAAATCGATAGCAATTTCGTTGATTCTAACGGCGAACGTTCTATCGGCAGCAACGTGCAGTTGACCTACGTTGAGCCAGACCAGTCGCGACGATGGTGCCCAACGAACTTTTCTAACCGATGGACACAACAGAAGACTACAATGTAGTCGTAAAACTCACCTCTCCGTACTTTGAAGCTTCTAGCAGAAATCTATCTGTGCATCTACTTAACTCTTCTAGCATATTTTGGAACTGGTCGTTGAAAGAGATCGTGAAAATGATGAGAGTCTAGTGAGCGTGAAGATGACCTGAACTCGATATTAGAATCGAAATAAGTTCGGAGTAGAAATCGAGAAGCATTTGAAACTTACGTGCTGGGGCAACTCTTTGAAATTATCTATTTTCCAACGATCGACGAAGGTGGATGGAAGAATAGTATCGTCGTAGTCGACGATAACCACTTTCCCATTCTGCTGCTTCCGACGATACATCGTATTCAGGCGAGTCATATTGTTGTCGTATAGCATCTTTCTGTGAAATTTCCAAACTGGTTTTGATTTTGTTGTGTTGTGCTGTATTGTTTTATTATGTAGCTGCACTGTTGTGCGGCGTTCTAAAAGTGTGATGGTTGGGTGTCCAAGAAAAGGATAATCAAAATGATTCTTCAGCGGCATCCAGGCAATTGATATATTTGATTCCTTTTTCGAAATAATTGAAAAAAGAGGGATTTTTGAAATTGTAGCTCGTGAGTTGGGCCTACCACGCATATTCAGCCAAGTTTTTGGCGAATAAAATTGCCATCCCCGAGAAGGGGTTCGAAAAATTTTAGAATTCCGTTGACAAAGTTGGAACCGAGCATGATGATCCAAATTCTGTCTGTCCGTAGAAGACCTTGAAACCTATTTCTACTGTAGTCCGTAGTTCATTTTCTACTTCTTAGTCCTATTCTTCTCTCTACGCTTCTTTGTAAAAGGGGTATGGACAGACGCTCTATCTACAAATTCTGACCGACAAGCAATCACAATATAGTATATACAGGTCTTAATATCATAATTTTGAAACGTCGATAAATTTTTCGTGATTTACGCAGAATATGTCCATTCAAAATTTATTTGTGACTTGTATGTAACTATTTTTAACACCTTGCTTGCGATCGGCACCGAAATGGCGCGCCAATTTATTTGTTAAAATGTCGCGCATTTTTTGCCTTTCTAACCAACTGATCTAAAGATGACCGAGTCGCATGCTTTTGTATTATGGCGGCCCTCCGATCCCATCCGACTACGGCGAGGTTCGTTATCGTAAAGAACCGTACGAATCTTGCATCACAAAATTTTAAAATCTAGAGGGATTTTTGATTTTTGAAACACCAAAGACAAAATGGCATTCCTAACGGTCATTCCTGTTGAGCCTTTTAACGTTCCTTAAATTTTAAAGGTGCCACTTACATTGATTCTTCCGTAAAGGAACTGTACGTATGGTACTACTGCTACTGTAGATAAAAACCTGTGCAGAAGTGAAAGGGTCATAATTCATTCAAAAATGATCCACCTAGTCGTATTCGGCAGAAAATTTTACGTTGTACAGTAATTAACTTCTAAGTATGTACCGTACCAAGTACTCGTGCTTGCCAAGACAATTCTCTAATTCTAGTTTTGAAATTTTCTACAGCTAGTGCGGCAGTATTAGCGGTAGTAGAAGAAATTTAACAAATACTGCAACAAATCCTGTACAGTAATAAATAGTAATACAGGGAGGTGCCGCAAGGAGAACAATACTACCGGTACACTAAGAAGTTATCCCAGCATTGGCATCAGCTCAATCCTTGGTTGTTGTTACCCAAAAGTTGAGCTGAAGGCAAGAACCATACGGTAATACCGTACGTACCGGGGTACCGGTACCGGCAGTGCGAGTACTTAAATGCATTACAATTTTTCTTACCGTACATCGTACAGTGCGTACGAAATACTTGGCGTGTTGCACAACGGGGCCAGTTTTCCATCGTAGTAAGGTGGTCTGGTACGAGTAGTAGTACCAGTTCGTAGGATAACGTTGTCGCGAGATAAGCAAAGATAGTTTCTTTTTTATGGATTGGGGAGTGTGAAATGTTGGTGCGCTCCAGGGTTGGAGGGATTGGAGTAGTAAATCAGTCTACTCGTTTAGGTTTTGTGGAAGATAGGCTGATGAGCATGTGAGGTAGGTCTGTTGATGTTGCTCATAACCTGTGAAATGTTGGTAGGCTCCTTAGTGTACATGAATACGTGGTTTACAATAAAGAGTGAGCTTATTCACTATCTACTCGTGATTTAGGCTCACAGGGAGTTGTCACGAATTTTTCCATTTGCTCCGTTGTGTGAGAGGAAGGAAAGCATCGACATGATCCAAACACTGAATGGAAGCAAAACGAACTTCTAATACGCAATCAAAGCGTCCCGCAGAAATAGTCAAACACTCGACCGGCATGGCTATTATTATTGCACAACAGATTTAGAATACATAGGTTCAACCAGCCAATCAGTAGTTAGACCGAAGAAGTCTGGAGTCAAAATCCAAAAGTTGCGCTATCAAAACACGTCATTATCGCTGGAACCTCCCATTGCGGACACAACGGTAATGTCAATTGACAGTCCAACCAACGTTGATGAACTTGCATGTTCTCTACAGGAACCTCTGCTAACGCGGGGATGTGTTGACGAAGGCCAGCAAGATTCGAATACCGACACCACAACTACAATCAATGATGGAAATCCCATCATTTATGACAATGAAGGCCGCGCCGATGGCCAAGAAACGAGGAGACTATATGATGGATTACATTTGAAGGATTCCCTGCTGATCAAATTTCTTTATTTTCTCGACGCGTTGGGAAGTTCCGCATGGGGCCGCTTCAGCGCAATATATTACAACAACCACGGGCTGAATACCCAACAGATTGGTTTGATCGAAGGATTACGAACTTTCACACCGACAATAAGTATGGTCTTTTGGGGTTTTATTGCCGATCGGTTCCAATGTCGAAAACAAGTTTGGATTTGGACAAAATCTGGAGCTACGTCGATTCTACTTATGTTGGCATTGCCATGGGTCACCAAATCCTTCTTTCGGATATTGTGGGTTTCGGTGGGAGCACAACTATTTGTTTCAAATGGTGCAATCCTAGATTCCTATACGCTTGAGCTGCTTGGGACCGAGAACAAGGATTTGTATGGACGGTACCGCCTTTATGCAAGTCTTTCGTGGGGCTTCGGATCTATTGTCATGGGTTGGATTACCGATAATTATGGATTTGATTGGAACTTTATCATGTTTGGCGCGTTGAGCATATTGATGATTGTGCTTGTGGCATATTTTATTCCAGATACAATAAACAATGAAGCAGACCAAGATCCACTTGCAGCAGATAATAGAGCAACTGGAGAAATAAATATCGAGAACGAATCTCTTAATGATGCTGTTGATGAGGACGATCAGATTGGAGACATCTCTGACCTTCTTTTTCTGATCACGAAACCCAGGGTTCTATTTTTTTTTGTTGAAGTCATAGTAATGGGAGCTGCTATGGCAACTGTGGAACGCCTTTTATTCCTTTATATGATCAATGACCTCCATTCGTCCACGCTTCTTTGTGGAATGAGTGTAGGAGTAAACGTGCTCTGTGAGCTTCCGATATTTTGGTACGCTTCTTCGATCTTGAACTTTCTTGGATCGGATGGAATGTTCCTCCTTTCCATGACATGTTTCGTCGTGCGAGTGTACGGATACACACTATTGACTCCCTCCACGAAGCATTGGATCCTTGCACTTGAATTGATGCACGGAGTTACTTTTGCTACGTTTTGGATTGTGACAACAGATGTCTCAAAAGTATTGATCGACAAAAGCAGAGGGGGTTTTTGGAGCACTACCATTCCCTCAATCGTGCAGATGTCGTACAATGCAGTGGGAGCTACTATCGGATCGGTGTTTGGAGGCTTTGCAATGCATCGATATGGTTCGAGGCAGATGTACCTATTCATAGCAGTGTCAGTGTTATGTATGTTGTTTGTTCATCTTGTCGGAAGTATACTCGTCAGGACTTGTCGTCCTGAACTCGGAAGTGTTCTGCCTGGATGCCGCTGCCCAACAAGCAATGGAAACAACGAAGAGGAGGAAAACGAGCAAGGTCACGAGCAAGACGGTGATGAGGTGGGAGATTGAAGTCATCGTGATAGCAATCTTCGAGCGATTTTCAATCCTGCTTCGCATTATAAATTGTACTTTGCACCCTAACCATCTTCTACTTCGTGTGAAGGGCAATAGTCTTCTTCTTAGAGTCCATTTGAATGGGCCAACCCGAGCATCAGAAGTACGAGTATATTATTACTCACACATAAATGAAGTGAAAGCGCGGTCCGACAAACCATCGCAACTCTTGTTAAGGAAAAACCACAGCCTTGGATTTCACGACTACAATCATTTTGGTTCACCCAACGAGAGATCTTCGAGCAAAACTTTCGACCGCTCCACTCAACTATTTAGACAAAGAAAAAATAAAGTCGAAGAGCATATTGTAAACCAAAATGGACGCTTTATTTTCAATTTTTTGTTGTTCGTCCTTCTCAAATATTTCTTACATTGGTACTGTAGATAAGTTTGGCATTGCTCTTCCTCGAGAAGCAAACGGTAATGCTCTCCAGAGATAATGATGTTACTAACAATATCAAACAGTAGTACAACTGTACTATTTAGCATGTTCGGAGGCAAATCAAGTACGTAAAAGTACTCGTACTTGACAAGTAGTAGTACGGTAGAAAAGTTGAAATTTGTCTGTAGGTTCAGTTGCTGGGCGACATTGAGCTGCTGCATTTCAGTCCGGATAAACGGCAGTGGTGATGCCTCGGCCTCACGTACTCGTACGTACGCGCATTGTTGTAGGAATGATTTAAATTTTAAAAAGAGCTACCAGGGCTTATTAAACTCTGTGAGAGATTTATTGACTAGAGTAAGGGTAGCCATATATGCAGTCGGAGATGTGTCGGAGATATGTTTGGGAGATGATTCCTCTGACAGTGGGCGTGTGTGTAGGCCCATTTTCTAGTCACGATTTTCTTACCCATATTTTTGAGCGTTCTTGTATGCGCTGACAGGACAGGAATGTCGTACTCAGCTGACGGAGGCAGTAGCAGCGGCACCCCAGAGGATCTCGTGGTTACGGACGGCCCTAGATGGCACTTGCTCACAGGTGCCCTGACACTGGAGGAGCAAGTCAGGCTGTTCAGCTTCATTCATGAACGTGACGCAACCAACTGGGATAAACTTATGCCCTGCATGAATCCAACTCCAAAGACTCTGGAACTTGTACAAAAGGAAGGGGCACAGCCAGCTCGTGTTCTCAGCTATGGCCCCGATGACGAGACTGCAGTGGTTGAGATGGTTACAAAAGCGATAGGAATCTTACAGTGGCGCCAATCAATCAAATCAGTGACCGTTGCTACCATACGATACTGCGCCAGCGGGAGCCATCCCTGCATTGGTAGCTGTTTTCCGCCCCACATCGACCATTGCAATGATGGGAGCTCGGTGGTTTTGTTCAGCCTTGGGCGTACAGCGACCTTCCACATCCAGACCCCTGGTATGGCCCAGCGTCACACGTTCGATATGAACTCTGGCGATGTTCTGGTGTTCGACCCGTCATCTGAAGCAGCAGTTGTCCACGGCGTCGCTAGCGTCGCATCTGGGGAGGAAGGGAGTGTAAGAGGGGATGAGCTGGTGGCAAGATTCGACGTTTTGCGTAGCAGTCGGTTCGGCGTACAATGTCGCGTGTCATTCGTAGAATAAACCCCTAGGGCATTTCCCTTCTAGATCGAATCTTCTTCATACCACAGGTACTCCATACTATGTATCACTTCTAAGTTTCTTGAGCTAAGTCGTTTGCCGCATTTCCAGGCACTTGGATGCCATCGTTTTCACGCGTTGATATGTGCGTTTCAACCAATGTACGACTGTAGGCGCATCTCAAGCTCATCTTTACCGCCATATTTTTTCTTTGTACCTTTGCTTTACTGCTGTAGTACTGTACGTACGCACTTGGACCTGCTACAGGCCGTACCAGTACCGGTAGGTAAGTTACGTAACCGTTGAGCAGCTCAACATTTCCATGTACTCAGCTCGCGTGGTATTTTCTAGGTACACGATTTGTTGAGCAGCTCCCGCCGTACAAACACTAGTTATTTTTTGCTTAAGTACATGCACCTCAACTGGTTACAAACCGCGCGGACTGAATTTTGTAACCAGAATTTGTAACCAAACCCTTCCCTAAGGAGAGCCCATATTTTTTACACGATACCACTAGTAGTGTGGTTACAAAAAAACCGGGTCTGGTTACAAAAAAAGCGCACTGGTGCGCTTGTAACCAGGCGCACGCACCTCAACAGGTACAACTAAAAAACTGTCTTCACTAAATACTGTACGTAGTTAGGAGTACTAAAAAAATGTGAGCAGTTTTCAGTGAAAAACTGATCTTGATTGCTATTCCAGTACAAACTCATGTAGAAAACACMGTAGAAATATTGATTTGCAGGGGGAAACAAGCAAAACACCAGCATCCGTATCGTATCAGCGGCTCCTCCGTATCAGCAACTCGTATCGTATCAGCGTCCTCCGTATCAGTGAGCGTCCTCCGTATCATCGACTCGTATCAGCGTCCTCCGTATCAACATCCTCTGTATCGTATCAGCGTCCTCCGTATCAGCAACTCGTATCGTATCAGCGGCTCGCTCCTCCGTATCAGCGATTGGCTGAGTACATGGAAATGTTGAGCTGCTCAACGGTTACGTAAATAACTGTGGAAGAGCTCTGCTTCAGCACAACAAGTACTTTCTTCAGCAACACCAACAACAAGCTCTCGAGCTAAAGCTCTCGAGCTTGTTGGTGGTGTTGCTGAAGAAAGTACTCGCAGTAACCTCACTTCGGTCTCGAGCTAAAGCTCTCGGCCTCAGTGACGTTACTGGTGTACCCAAATCGTACCAAAAAATGTACTCTGTTGAGGTCYGTGTTATTTGTGTGGGAAGAGTTTTGTACTGTGCGCTCGAGAGCTTAAGCTCTCGAGCGCACAGTACAAAACTCTTCCCACACAAATAACACGGACCTCAACAGAGTACATTTTTTGGTACGATTTGGGTACACGCGCTGCGCGAGCTCCTCCACAGTTACTATACATACTCACTCATTTCGTAAAAGATTTCAAAACATCGCGGGCGCGCGAATGCAATCACTCTGAAAGGATTTTTTTCCTCTGCATAACACATAACACAAGTCGATACACTACGAATGAGTCGACCATTCTCGATCGACGTTGAGAAGGACTAGAGAAAAACCATTGCAATTGTCAACCAAAGCACAGAAGAAACAGCAATAGTTGGATATGCATCAGAAACCCTCATCGAAGCCGCTCTCGCAGATTTAACTCTCATTTCAACAATGGCCGAAAGACCTGTGATGTATCTAGAGCAGGAGGATTGGTCTCCTAGATACCAAGATACATTTTATACAGTACGATTGGATGATTTCCAGCGGTTCGCGTCGACGCCAAAAACTGCGACTTCCAACAATGATAGTGATTCATTGCCATCTAGTACCCTTGGTGGTAAGACAAATTTTCCTGCCTATTATTACAAGATCCAGATTTTTTGTGGACGACACGACCCCAAGGTAGTCTTTCGGCGTTATTCTCAATTCAAGTGGTTGTACCAGAATATCCCACTATCCACTACAGGTGGCGATCCAAGCGAGGAACCGATCCAATTCCCCCCTGGAAACGGATGCCTTTGTTCCCAGAACGATGACTTTGCCAAAAACCGAACGGAACAGCTGCGGGAATTTCTGAACGAGGCACTGGTTCGTAGGGATGTGGCGAGGGATGAGGCAGTTGCCCAATTCCTAGAACTAGACAGCTTTGTGAAGACGGAAAAGAGCTAAGCGAGAAAATAGAATAGCTCGATGTTGTGATCCGAACGATCGTCCATTCGGAACAGATAGTATTTCGCCAATATTGGGTTTCGTAAATTTTAAATGGGTTGTCCTGTCGAAGGAATGATGTGTGAATAACAGTGAAAAAGAAAACATTGTCGAAGGAGATAAATGCGGTAGAGTTTGGCAATTTTGGGATCATCATTCTTGGTTGTTTCTCAGGTTCATGAGCTGGAAAAATAAATTTCTGATACGAAAACTGATGCTAAAATAGAAAGTTGAGAGGAAAGCTTACTGAACTCCTCTAGTTGCTAAATGTAATGAATGATGAGAGAAGCATCTATTCGTGAAACTTCATACGGAAGCGCATGTAACAGAAGTTTGAATCATATTTCCACCACAACTGGCTATTTGGACGAAAACTATGATAGGATAGAGCGTCGAATTGCAAAGGGGCAGTGATCGGGAAGAGAAACAAACTACATATCTTTGATTCTGAAGGCTTTTTGGTATAGGTACCAGTTTGAAAACACGTCAAAGATAGGGTCATTCATAAGACATTGTTATCTATCATATTATTTCTCTATTCTCGTGGAAACAGGACATTATCCAACAGTGTCTGGGTCCATTCAGGCCCATACAACGCATTTAGCATCGGTTTGGCTGGGTCGTTGTTTCTTCGATAGTCTAGATACGCACTTTGGTGATTTTCTCCTTCAACGGCCTTCATGTCCTCTGCATATCGTGCTAGCAATTCTAGGTAGGCGCCGAGATGCGCCTGGAATGCATCAAAAATGTCCCTCTGAATGGCATCAGTGGCAGGAGTGGCAGCAACACTTTCGTCGGAAGCATTGTCGTCGCTGATACTGGACACCGCAATATTCTGCAGCCTCGTCCAGAGCGCATATTTTGATACATACGTCTTGACTGGGTCGGGAAAGTCACCCCCCCAGGCATACTTGAGCGGTTCGTCGCCGTCTTTTTCTGGGTTGTCTGTGTTATTTGCAACGTGCATGCTGTACCACTCCTCCCAATGACTTTCGTGTGGATTGGGCACTGCCATGGGTTGTGCATCTAGTAGTAACAAGTGCTTCCCGGGCAGCGAGACTAAATCGATTCCCAGTACTGGTAAGGTCGTGTCGGCATTGGGCAGCACAACGAAATTCAATACCTGAATCCCTTCTACAGAAACAGCATCATCGACCTCACAGGAAACGGGGACGGTTTCCAAAAGGGTGATTCGAGCATACCTAACTAATGGTTTGCCATCGTCGAATTTTGTGCTTGGAATCAACGCTTTAGTGGTTATTCGTACGGTAGATTCGATTTTGCTACCCCTCGCGGGAGCTTGCTTTTCTGAAAGATCCGTTGGCACTTTGTCGTCAATTTGTAACCACTCTGTTCCAAGTAATTGTTCCACTGCGTGATCCGCAAACTTTTTGTATAAACCAACGGCACCCTTCGACGACGTTACGGGTGCGTCGACTCCAGCGGCGGAAAGTGGATTGCACCTCGCCAACTTTCTTTTGCTCTTCGGTGAGTAAAGATCCAAATTATTCGAGACCATTCTTGTCAATGGATTGGATCTACTGTCAGCGCTAAATGCAATAGCGTTTGCAATCATTGCCACTAGTATCGTTGCCGCGAAGGCGAAGGGCCCAAAGCGAAGATACGGATTTGACCAGTTGGACGCCATGGTTTTCCGTTGCGTGATTAAATTGTTTGCTAGCTATGATTGGTAAGAATGTAAGACTTGAGTTCGTTTGTCGAATATGGCGGTTTTCTCTTCCTGGTCCCTCAGCTAGTTTTTGAGAAAGACAGTCGCCAACCAAGAGGTAGGTTTCCAGAAATCATATGTTTAAATACTTCGAATTAGATCTCCAGAAATGGCTTCTTTTTTTCTCAGGATTTGCAAAAATCTTGGTTTACGCAGGAAGAAAATCATTCGACTGTGCCATCTGACGACTGACGACAGACCAGTCCCACCATGGCAAGTTGGCAAGCATGATAACGTTGAAGATCATTTTGGCATCCGCACATTACACCGTACGTACGGTTATTACTTCTGCGTTGTACTGTAATCCCATTAGAGCTACTAAGTACGGGCCCCATAATGGCAAGTTATTGGCAATCCCCGTACAAATACTAATAGAAATTTTTAGCTCATTTTTACAGTTAAAACCAGTTAAAAAAGGCATCCAATTGACGAAAATAAAAATATTTCCATTGTTTAATTTCTTGCTAGTCCCAAAATATTTCTATTAGTGGTCCTTAATACTTGAGATAAGCACTGATTTGATATTGTCAGTAGTAAGTACCAAGTATAGAAATATTTTCGGACTTGTACTTTTTTTCGTGCAGGAGGGGGAGAGGGGAAATAAAGACGGGAAAATGAGAAAAAATTGACACCCGGGGAATTGCCAATAACTTGCCGTTATGGGGCCCGTACTTAGTAGCTCTAAATCCCATACCGTACGGTATCGCACCGTACGATGTAAAACTACGAGTACGTACTCGTACGAGGGCATTATTTCGGATCGGAATTTATATCTCAAAACAATCTGAATTGCTTACAAACACACGATTTTATAGTTACGACGTGCTAAGCACTACAGAGGACACAAGCAGGTATGATGCATTTATCATTGGCAGCGGTTACACTGACCTTCGTCTATAGTGCTTTATTTGGAAATTTCTGCCAGGCCTTTGTCATCGACACTAGAGCGAGCTGCCAAACGCAACGAGTCCGCAACTATGGGTCCGCTTCCTCTTCGACGACGAGGCATGTCATTCCTCCCGAAATAATGGAAGAAGTCGGAACAGCTCGAGGCCAATTTTTTCTTTGGTTTTTTGGGTCATCAGGTGGCGGAGGCATCGCCTTGTCCTCTTTTCCGAGGATGTACGAACAAGTGGCCTACATTCAATCCCTCAAGGGGGTAGGTCCATCCTTGGGGGGCGACACTTTAGGAATTAGTCCACTCTGTGGATATCCTCAAGATATTGCTGTCAAAGATGTAGAAAAGGTGGCAAACAGCAAACTTACGATAGACCAAATGGTGGAGAAATTTCCACAGGAAGGCAATTACCTTGCTTCCAAAGGTTACATAACGTTTAGTGCCTTCGAGCAAGCCAACGAAGGTTGTAATCCATTGGCGATTCGTGCCGTCTTCGACACCTTTTCCCAGTCCACCAATATATCCGATCCACGGGTTGCACAAGAGAAGCTTAATTTGTACAAGCAAGATCCTTTCGCAATAAATGGTGCCCTTTTCAAAGCCAAGGTGACGGGATTTTCTGCCGTCTTTACGTTGTTGGTACTTTTGGGGTTGGCAGAATCCATTGCATTTGGACATGCTAAAGATGGATGGTTTCATGACTGGACATGGTCCGATGGAATTCTGAATATTCCTGATTTTTGGATTTGAAGGGGATTGTCGAGCGAACCAAGTACTGATAATAATATAGTACTAGCTTGTCAAATTCGAATGAATTTTGAACTCGTGTGTAAACCAGCGTTTACAGCTTCGTTCCTGCAAGATCCGTACTGTGCCGCATTAGTGGTATGGCAGTGATTGGATAAGAATTGGTCTCAGACGACATTGCTGCAAAACTAGATAGGAGCTAAACGCATTGTCGAGTCGTGGTCTCGCAGAGGCGCTCCTGCTGTCAACAAGAATCGGATTCTGTCGGAAGAAATCATTTTGTGAAGAAAAGTTGTCCTCGACAGACCAAATTCAAAACCAATCCAAAGCAGCGTTGTGTTCCCCGCGATCGACAGTCTATTCGTCCGAGTCATCCGGACAATACATTTCAGACAGAATGTGACCAACAGTTACCCCATTATTGGGAAACGTTTTGGACTCGATTCCTACTGATTCCTCATAAAACGGCATGGACCACCAATCGTCATCAAGAGGAGTTTTTCGTGCTTCGAGCGAACATCCAGTTATTACTATTTTCTTGTCGAGAGAGACACTCACAGTCGCACTTGCAATAATCGAAAACAAATAGGGAAACCTGATTTTGATACTATTTGCTGTTGCTGATTCCTGGAGTGGCAGTCCTTTTGTTTCAAAATCTCTTTCTGGAGAATGATATGCGGCACCATCGAACAAGTTGATACAACCCGGGATAATATCGGTCTGAAAATCTAGTTTTTCAATGGTAAGGTTGCGAAAGTCTGTCAAATCCATTGCTCGATCTAGTGGTTTCAACATTGGATATGCATCAAAATTTCGTTCCGTGTTATTTGGCTCGTAGACACAGCAACTCTTCATATCGCGGAGGCGAAGGAGACGGACTCGTAGCTCGATACTCTTTAGGTGGCACGCTGCTGGTCGAACTAATACACGATCAGGGTATTGCATTAATTGTATTGAATTCAATCTCCGGATCTCGGCATCTCCAACCACAATAGGTTTGGAAAATGTTGTATCAAGCATTCCATCCGTCAAAAGAGGTCTCAGTGTCTCCCCAGTAATCGAGAACCTTCTCTCTACCTTGTGGGCTGCGCTGTTGTTTTTATCTGGATTGTAAGAAAGCTCGCCAAAGAGGACAAGATCGTCTTCTGTGTGAGTAGGAGCAGGGAGCAGCGGAACTGGAGGGGCCTCCGATACGGCATTTTTCAGAAACTTGCGCACAAGCCACCGATACTCCCTCTTGTCAATAACTTCTTTCGGAATGACGTGTGTCATTTCGTAGTTTTGATACATCTGTTTGTATACCGAAGCCCAAATGTTTCCATCGTTGACGACTCTATTCACAGCGCTGTTAGTGGCAGAGAGTCGTCCGAGATCTTTGGTGCCAACATAGCCACTGTGGACCAAAATATGAAGAAGAGACGATAGGTTTAGATCGTCAACACCTGCAGCTCCCGATTCACGCCTCGGCTCGTTCATCGCCTACGTTTCTTGGCTAACGATGATCGTCGTTTGATACTGGTGTTCCGGTAGTCGTTGGTACGTGTTGCACTCTGGCATCGATTACGATCGCCGCTTCTGTCTTTCTCATGGCCGGCGATTTTTTTTTCCTTTCCGATTTCCCTTCCGATCATGATTCCAGATGCGATTATGGAATTCGCGCTCTTCGCGCGCGATGATACAGTAAATGCCAAGATCGTTTCATGAGCCAGTCAAGAGAAGGCTGATTTTTCCTTCACTGGAGGTGCACCCGCCCCTACGGTACAGAGTACGCATACACCGTACCGAACGAACCCATCACAATAACAAATTTCGATATCTCTCCACAACACCCGGACTCTTTTGACTTGTGACACTCGAAAGCAGAATACAAGTACTCCAATTTCTATTTCACTTGCCGACAATCAGACCACAATGGCATCGAACATCCAAGTGACCACCCCGTCCATCAAAGACACTACGAAATTGGAGCGGATCGGAACCCACTCGCACATTACGGGTTTAGGGATCAGTGAGACGCTCGAAGATTTGTCCGGTGCTGCCACCGGCGGGAATCCTTCCTCCTTGCGGTCCTCCTCTTCTTCAACTCCCGGAAGCGGCTTGATAGGACAGGTCAAGGCTCGAAAAGCGATGGGGCTGGTCTACAAGCTTATCCAGCACGGGAAGATTGGGGGTCGGGCTATTTTGTTGGCGGGTCCTCCTTCGTCTGGAAAGACGGCGCTGGCAATGGGTTTGGCCCAACAGCTGGGAAGCGATGGAAACAATAGCAAGAGCGACACCGATTCTTCCAACGATGTCCCTTTCTGCAGTTTGAGTGCTACCGAGATTTTCAGTTTAGAGGTGAGCAAAACGGAGGCTCTGACGCAAGCCATTCGTCGGTCCATGGGAGTACGAATTGTCGAAGAGCAAGAAGTGATGGAGGGAGAAGTTGTCGAGATCCAGATCGATACACTTGCGGGAGGAGGTGGCAAGGTCGGAAAGACCGGTCGCTTGACTCTTTGCACGACCGATATGGAAACTATTTATGATCTGGGAACCAAAATGATCGAACGATTGACGCAAGAACGTGTCACTGCGGGAGATGTAATTCGAATCGACAAAGCGACGGGGAAAATATCCAAACTGGGACGATCCGTTTCCCGCTCGAGAGACTACGATGCCATGGGATCCAATACTAAGTTCGTCCAATGTCCCGAGGGAGAGCTGCAAAAACGGACTACGGTCACCCACACGGTGACACTTCACGAGATCGACGTTATCAACTCGAGGCAGCAGGGATTCATGGCCTTGTTTACGGGTGATACAGGAGAAATATCGGAAACCGTTCGCAATCAGATCGATGCGAAAGTCGATGAATGGAAGACGGAGGGCCGAGCGACCCTGGTTCCGGGGGTCTTGTTCATTGACGAGGTGCACATGCTCGACATGGATTGCTTTTCCTTTTTGAATCGTGCCATGGAGTCCGACCTCTGTCCGATCGTGATCCTCGCCACAAATCGTGGAATTGCGGCCATCCGGGGAACGAACTTCCGCGGCCCCCACGGCATTCCCCTCGATCTACTGGATCGGCTCTTGATCATTCCGACGATCCCCTATTCGATCGACGAGTTGCGGGGGATTCTTCGGGTTCGGTGCACGGAAGAAAACGTCGACATGACCGACGATGCCCTCGAACTCCTGACGCGGATCGCCAACGAAACAACCCTGCGATACGCCATACAAATGATAACGACCTCCTTCCTGGTTGCGAAAAAACGAAAGTCGAAACAAGTGCAGGTTGCACACATCGAACGGTGCCACAAATTATTCTTTGATGTGCAACGATCAACTAGGTTCATCATGGAATACCAAGACCAGTTCTTGTTCCACGAGCTGGAAGACGATCAAAAACATTCTGGAGCAACGAAGGTGGAAGAGACGAAGGAAAACAAGATGGAGGAATAAAGAGAATACAAAAGCGTAGACTATAACAGAAATTTTAAATTTTAGTTGGACCGAACGTCGTGCACGATCGTATCCATTCGATGCATGCGAAGCCGTTGCTGTTATATGTCACCCACCAGCATGAAGGGTTCTCGCAAAAATTCCAAAAAGCCCGATTTGTCGTGGGCGCCGCCATTGCCGGCGGCAGCGTCCGCTGCAGCCGCGGGGCCCGATCTCTGGCGGGAGGAAGCGGCCGCGTCTCCCGAACCGACCCCCTCGTCCCCGTGATTCGATAGGAGTGCGTACGGATGCCCGTTGTCGTCCTCGCCGGCCGTGCGCGGGCCCTTCCAATCGCCGTGCCCAAACCTGTACAGTGCCAGACCCGCTACGACAACCGCCAAGCCCGCCGTATCGTATGCCCTCAGGTCCGAAAAGGACGAGTGGTAGTCAAAAGCCAGGTGGCCCAGCGGAACCACCAGGGTCAGGCCCAGGTACATGAGGTCGCAGGATCCGTACTTTAGCACAAAGAGCATGGACAGTGCATACACCACGCCATTGATCAGGGATACGTGGACCCAGAGTGCCGCGGCAGAGCAGTCGTCGGGGTGGCACCCTACCTCGATAGAGTTGGTCTGTGAAAAGAGACAGCCCATTCCGGCAATCCAATTGGATCCAAGCTCGAAGGGGTGAACCCTCGGACTCGAGACCATCCCCGACGGCACCACCAGGAAGAGACCGCAGACGAGTTGGCAGAGGGAGACCCATCCGTTGATCAGTATCGGATCCATAGACGATGCCGTTTGGAGAGCGACTTGTTTGTACACCGTCGACATCACGCTGGGAACGCAGGACAACAACATGACGATCGACCAAAAGAACACCAAAAAGTCTTCGTCTCGAACAGACTCCTCTTCCCTGGACACCCAAGCGCAATAGTATACGTTACCATCCTCCCCGTCGGTGAAGTTCGTTTCTGTTTGGTACCGGAATAGAAAGCTAGGGTCCGGGTTGCTGTTCTTGGCATTGTGGGAAAGGCATTCCTGCTGGGTGGTTTCTTCCCGACAAATTATGCAGTCGGTGTCGGAATCGATTGCCTTGCAGTAAAACTCTGCCTCTCTCTCGTGGCTGAGAATGGGGTGCAGGACCACCAAAATACCACAAAAGACCACGGCGGCTCCGGCGTACTGGCGGATCGTGTACTTCTCGCCGAGAACGAGGGATCCGGCCGCCATGGAAAGCGGGATGGCGACCTGTGGGATCAGCACCAAGAGAGTCCCGGGAAGATAGACGGTGGCCAGCACCTGCATCGCGGCCCCCAGTGCGTCCAGGGCTCCCATGACGAAAAACGGCTTGAGCGTCCGGCGCGGGATCACGCGCGGGATCGAATTGCCAAACAAGCCCAGAGTGCATACGGGCAGAATGTAGGCAAAGGATATCACGACGTACATTCCGTTTGCATATATGTTGAGGAATGTGGGATAGTTGTACCTACCGGTTCCGATGGTGTCCGATTGTTTTTGGTAAGCGATTGAACACGAAAAGACAAGGGTGATGGACCAACACATCAGAAACCGAACAAGGCTAAAGGAGAAGCAGGAGAAGAAGCAGCGCGATCGGCAGGAACGAATCGCTTGCTTCCTCCTCCAACACAGAAACGAATCGTCCGCAGCGGTCGTCGAGAGGTACGTACATGGGCAGCGACTGCAGCTTGGCAAAAATAACGTTTCCTACTCCGGAGGCCACCAGGAAACAAAAGACGACGCACAGCTTCCAGTCCGTCGGTTTTGTCGCATCTTCGCCAACCCCCCCGCTTTGCTCGTCCTCGTCCGGCGACAACGACGACAGCGAAGACGACGACTCGCTTCCTTCTTCGTATTCCAGGGACGGGGCAAGGCTCGGAAAGCAAAAGCACGCCGGCGCCTGTGCGTGTGCCTGCGCGTCTGGCGTCCCGTCGTGCCGGTCGCCGGTGTCGCCCGAAACGGACAAGGTCGGCCGATGCAGCAAAGGCCGCCGAATCTCGTCCCCGGGATCGGAGCCTTCCCCCGGGGGACGATGGCTCGCGTTCGAAATCTCCGACCTGCTTCGGATGCGACGAAAGACCAAGGAACGGCTGCAGTGGTCGGCTCCCGGTATCATCTCGATGCCCCGTTGTGCAATCGATCGGCCAATCAATAGCAGTGTGTGTTGTTGTGTTTTGTGGGTGTTTTGTGGTGGTGGAGGCGCCGGTGTGTTGTGTTGTATTGTGTTGTAGTGTAGTGCGTGGTGATGTTTTGTGTTGCGGTGTGTGAATGGCTTCGCGGTTGCAAGGTTTCGTTTCGAGCAACTCCTGCCGGACGGAAGTGGTGGGGACGCTTTGGCCTTGGCCTTGATTTCTCGTCGGCAACTCTCACCTCTCGAGTCGAAAACAGTAGGGAGCGGGTTGTCGTGACAGGAATGGTTCCTCGTGAAAGAACAAAAAAATTAAGGCCTTTCGCGACCGTTGTAAGGTGGGGTGAAACTCGTTTGTTCGTTTCTTGATGTTCCGAAAGCGGTGTTTCCAAACCATGGTACGTACCGCGGGTTACGGGTACAGAATTTTGTTGCAGGACGAACTGTACCATATCGTACGTACAGTACGATAAAGTTATTGCTCGAGTTCCGGCATGTAAAAGCGGTACCGTACGGTGCCTTACCGTACGGACTGTTGGTCATAGATAAAACGAGGTGACATCATCTCCGTCGTCGTGTTTCATGCAGAACCTGTTCTCGACCGATGAGAATTTGAGAAGCGAGAATTTCCTTCTGTTCTCTCACCTCCACAACACCGTAACGTTCGGTTCACTGTACGTACTCTGTCGGTACCACAAGTCGAATGAATCAATTTTTGATTTCAGCAATTCATACGGTACTACGTACATATCATAGAAATATACAGTATGACACATAAGAACGACTTGGGTCGCGATCATTTTTACGAGTACGTGTTCTCCACGCACGAGTACGTTTAGTTTTTGAAGAAGAGGAGTCGGTGGATTTTTTTGTTGCGAAAACAGGCAGTTTCTGTACAGAGCAGATGTTATTTTTTTGTCCCTAAAAATAGGCAACGAGTTGTAACTGCTTCGCCCTTGCTATTCACTCAGGAGTAGTACAACGTAGTTTGAATCTCCTGTGCCACTACCACTCGAAATAGGATACAACAAACACCTTTGAACCTCAAACTATTGAACGGAATAGATGTAGAGATTCGCGTCTTCGTTTTGCCACAGCTAGTTAAAGCTATTATTTAGTTCGTTCGGTAAAAGAGTTCGTTCGATGCATAATGTTTTCTAATGTTACTCTCGTATCAATCAATACTACTCTCGTAATTGTAGATTAGCGTGTATGTTCGATAAAGGTGAAACAATGACAGTATCGTCATCGTTGTTTGGCTTGATAGCGGGTGGGGAATGGGATAGTATGAGGGGTGCAGTGTGGAATGCGTGCTGTGTGGTGGTCTTCGGTCTGTCCGTTGTGGTAGTATGTGCACTAGATGTGTATGAGTTGCGATCGAAGAGGATGGAATGGGATGGATGGATKGATTGGAGTGAACAGACCGTTGGTAGATCGATGTGCAGTGGATCCATGAAGCAGGAGATTGACAATTAGTATACCACCGGAGAGCTGGCAGTGGTGTAACATCTCAGTCATCAAAATCCATTCTTTTCATTCTGCAGTGTCTTCGTCCGAGGAAGAAGCTGAACAGTTATGAAGTTGTCGCTGCTTTTTCAAGGGACGTGTGGAGTGGTCCGTGGAGTCTCCGCAAGAGATGGTGGTGACATCTTTGTTGCTGCTGCCGTGCATATTGGTGTTGTTGAGATCAAAGACACCTGCGGCATCCAAAAGCGTCTTCATTTGATCAAACGATTCACCGTTCCGGCTCGTCAAAGGTAATGCAGATTTGCAGCGAAGAGGGCATTTCTCGTATTCTGTTGGTGCGGTAGTGGGTGATAGAGACGGCGAAACCATAGCAACGGATAATGTAGAACTTTTTGTTTGAGTAGCTCCTGGTAATGCTGGCTGTGTTTCCGGCTTCGTCTTGACCCCGTTCAGTTCATTCAGGTGTTGATGTAGAAGGAGATTTTCCCCTTCCAACAATTTGCACATTTCGGCCATTTCTTCCATGAAGAGTCGTTTACGGTCTCTGGTTCTCTTAGCATGCATCCGATTCCTCTCTCGTCGAATCTGATCGAGTTCTGCCGGTGTACACTTGGAACGATCCTTTCCGAGGAGTTCGTAATCGATTCCATCGTTTGGAAGATTTTGGAGTTGCAGGTTGTTGATGTTATTGTTGCCTCTCTTGGAGTGCTGAGCACCAGATGGTAAAATAAGCGGCTGAAGTGCTGACAAGTTGGATGGGTCGGGTATTTCTTCCTCGGGTCTTGTCAATAGTGCTTCAATTCTTGGGTCTTCCGCGGAGCTGCTCTGCGATGCTTGACTATTTGAAAATAAACAACACAAAATATTTGCCGTGTTCTTCTCATTGATGCTCAGTTTGAGATTTATCTGTTCGCCCTTAAGACTCTCGGCCTTCTTTTGCAGGGACTGCAGTTGCTCCTTCTTTCGTTGCCGCGTCTTCCTTGCATGGATGCGATTCCGTTCCCGACTAGAGATTGGTGATTGGAGTTGGCGGCGTCCCATTGTGTTTTTAAATTGAATCGATTGGAATTTGCAATAAGGCGTAGTTGTGTTGTAGTTTGTTTCAAGAATGCATTGGTGGTGGAAAGCAACAGTAGCGAGAAAGCATAATGGGAAAATAGCGGAAACAGGCGTGAGTGTGGTACGCGTAGATGGTAGTACATATTGAAGTTGTTGACACGAATAATCAAATGTCTTTCACTCGGCAGGGGAGCATTGCCCTGCCGTTGGTTATGTGCAGCCTCGTGCAGAAACGCGGTACGAATCGTGACAGCGTGTCAGGTTCGAGCAAGACGAGAAAATGAACCTCCATAAAATTTCCGGATGAAGACAACAGGAATTGTTCGCGGGGAACGTAATGGAACATAATGGCAGATGGTTATGCTTAAAAACAATCAAAAAGATTTTGATTGGAGGAAATTGGGATCTTCTCTTCGAAATCTTAACATCTGCTCAGAGAACCACCAAAAAAGAAACATCTGTTTGAAAATTCCAGGAAAAGAGATCATCATATTTGATGGTTGTTTTTCGCTGAAAAAAAAACATACAGTCATCAAGTACGTGTTTTTGCCTTAGAAGAACATCGTGATTCATGTTCTATTGAACAGTATGAGTATGACCAGTACGGTGCGTTAGGTACTCGTACCGTGCAATGATGAATTTGTCCCCTATCAAAGAGAAATGCGCGCGTCTAACTGTTCCTCTCCTGCCGCCTTCAACGATTGAAACGACGCGCATCAACTTTGAACTTTTCCTCTTTCGGCTTTCGACTTCGCCTTCGATCGAAAATGGCTTTGGTTCGAACGACTGCTGTGACGATGGCGATTGCGGGAACTAATAAGGACAAATATTGCTGCAATGACCTACCTTCTCTGAATACGTTCGCCGTGGTTTCTTTTCTTCTTCGGTGCAGCCACATTTGTGGAGTTCAGAACATCCGATTCCGTGAAGCGTTTGCTGTCAAGAATGCCTTTTTTCGATGCGTTCGTAGAATGGGCCACGCCCAATGCTAGCTGGGCCATTGCCGGAGATCTATGAACAGCTTCCATTTATGGACAGTGCTGTTGTTCGCGACGACCATTTGAGGGGGAAAATGCAATGAGATTTATTCGAGCGTCATACGCCTATGAAATTCTTCATTCTATTAGCGAAAATATGACGTCGACACCAAGTCCGGAAACAAACTAACTGTTTCAGAAAACACTTACTGTAGTTATACGATACCTCGAACTCGTATTGGAAACTATATTTTGGACAGGAGTGGGGTAGTCATCGATTACTTTGTTTGTCATGACTGTCCAATAAAAAAAATAATACTGGAGTGATGATTGGATGGGCACGAACAAGGCGACATCACTGCTTAATTTACGCGTTCGAAGTCACCGTTTGAATTTTTCCCTCCCTTGACGCTTCTACTATGAGCGACATCACTGCACGCCAATTCAAATCGTGTTTCAGTCGCGATTTCATTGGGTACTGAAAAAAGCGTAAATATAAAAACAATATTTCCTCTGTCCATAAATAGATGTTCCCTACGACCATTTTGGCTGTCCATACTACAAAGAGTGTCCCCTATTTACTGATTTGTTTCAACAGATGAATTTAAGGAATAACTGTTTAGAATGTGTAGAGTCAGTAATAGAGACTAGAAATGAGCATGTGCGTGTTTTTAAAAATTTGAAATTAGTACACAAAAAAACAATTGTTCTTACTAATACTAGGTACGTCACAAAAAGTGTTCGCGGGGTTTGGTCGCAACCCCGCGCGTGTAGTTTTTGTGCGACCACTTAACACGGTGAAGTCATGATTATCAAG